ACTTCTCGAATTACATCTTTGATCCGAAATCTTTTGGATTACCGCTAATACTGCTGCTACCTCTACTGCTATGGGATTTGAATTGACAATTCCACCGCTGTGTGTTAACGTGGTATGACAACTTGAACTGATGTATGTACGTACCAAGTTTTACGTTCTTGACGACTGACTCTAATTGCTATGTATTCACCATTAGAGGATCTTAGTTAGGTGATTTGTCTGATGATATTTTCATGTCACTACATGGTTGCAACTTTTATCCTCAGGATCGTTACATCAGTCGAAACAAATGCGGTGGTTGCACAACAGCTTCTGTAAAAATATATGTATAGAGTGATTTTTGTATCAGTTGTTTTTGATTTTGTTGAATTTAATTTTCTCGATTAGTTTATTTCTTATTATTAACGGTATGAAATTTGTTTCCTACATTTTATTTTTGATTGCGCTTATCATATCAAACATTTTTGGTTTCAATATTCTCTATGTAAAAATTGCCATTCGGTTAGATAATATTATTTAAACACCAATCATGATTGTCATGTGAACCTTGAATTTTGTGTAGTACAAAATAATATTTATTTTTTAACAGTTATTTAAAAGTTAAGAGAACTTATGGAGATTGTTAAATTTCCATAGTTTATAACACAAACGGATCTTGGTTTACTACTAATTTAGGATTTTTTACAACCCTCATCTATACACTAATAATATTATTTTCGTGATCACTGATGATTAAATTTTTGATGCACACTCGGTTTTCTAATTAACAGCTTTGGTCAACGGAGTTCAATCATATTTGATGTGAAACAGTTATCCACCATAAGTAGATGAAAAAGGTCAAACAATATTGCAATTTTTTCGAGGTTGAGGATGTATGTAATTAGTTACTGGTTTAGCTGCCTACAGGTTAGGCGTTCGCTAACGAGACCGAATGTGCTTGGTTAATGAGTGCTGCTTAGGGGTCCTATACGCAGCAGTTGTAGTGATCATTTTGATATTCGCTGGTTCTCTAACTAAGATCAGTCTGTGATTTATACCATGAAAATTTATTTCTCAATTGTAAACCTTTAATTTTTAGACTGAATTAACTGTATCCTCTTCATACTGGTTGTCGAAATATAGCTAAAACCGTTTCATGGGTTTCGAAGGTGGGAACTCAAAAGATTTCTGTAATTTAACATTGAATAAAACTCCACTATTTCACAAGAAAATTTCTTATATAGTTAATCAGCACTCTGAGCACATCGTTGTCATTTATCCTGATGGTTTTTGTAAAGTTCTTGAATAAATTGCTGATTTTAAGCTAAGCGACATCATAGATGTGTACTGTTTATGATTCGCGAGCATAAACACAACTGTTATTTAGTTTTCTATCATTTTTAATTAGTTCTATATCAATTCGAAATGGCAAATTAGTTTTCAGTTGGATCTGTTTCACTAACTGGTTAAGTTTTATATTCTATCCACCATACAACTGATTAAATTTGATAGTAGAATTAACCTTTTATCAACAATAAGTGTACTTTCGTTTCAGTCTTCTTTCTTTTCAACATTTTCATTTTTATTTATTACTTAAAACTATGTTGGCAGACTGATTTGTTTTCAACTGTCACTTCAATGGTAATCGTTTTTCATGAATCATAAGTATAGAGAAAAATCAATTCAAAGACCTTTTCACATTTCATGTTGTTATTCGTTTGTTAGCAATATTTTTTATCTGTTAATTGTTAACTTCGTACAACTTGTTTTCAAACCAAGAATTATTTTTAGTTTAAGTGATTTGTACAGACTGAAGAATTTTCACGGTTTAAATCCCCAATTGATCTCAACGACGGTTGCTTCGTTTCATGGAATTTCCTAATTTTTTAACCGTTCAGCAACACTGGACAATCAAAAGGAAGATTTTTAAATTGATAAAATGATGCTCAGGGTTTTATCATGTTTGAAGCATTTATTTTCATAAACTAATCGATATTTCAATCCCAATCGGCAGGTAATGTTATCGAAAGGAAATACACTTGAAGTTTGAGTAGCATACGAAATAACTTCATCTATATGTATACTGACAAAAAAAAACTGTTTCAATTCGTGAGTTAGTTAGCGAAGTTTCAACATTAATAATTGATTTTTCTCTCTGTTCCATCATTTTCAAATTTCATGACATTCTCTTTCCAGTCTTACTGAGTGCAGTTGTGTCAGTCAATCAATTTTCATCATAAAATTTCAAAATATTTTGTTGAGTTTTTATATTCATTTTTACCGTTTTTTACATTACTGTACAAGAAGGCGAATGCAACAGTTTTAAAAAATATCTGTTCACGAAAATACCGTACCACTTCATAAATTGACTATCAGGATAAAGCTACTAGATTTGCAAAGGTTTTCGGTTAGAGAATAATAATAAAAGCAGAGTAAAGCAATCGCTAATCGGAAAGCAGTTTTTGTTTGTAGATAATTAACAGCTGTTGAAGACTAAACGATAATATTACAAAGTTTAAACAGAGTTCACATTATTAGTACATAATTTGTAGTCTTCTACAGGTTTTTTTTTATCTAAAAATCTAGAACACATTATTATGAATTCGTTGAAACTGATGCAGAGTGTTCATCTTTTTCAGCCTTTGTAAGAACATAGATAAATCTTGTGAAGTTCTTGGTTGGACTTGGCGTTTGAGGCTAAAGTTTAGAGATTAGGTATACATGGTTAAGATCAAAAGCTTGGGGTTGAAATGTTTAGAATTAGGGCTTGACATGTTTCAGACTACCAGTCTATTCTTTGTGATGAAAAGAAAAAAAAAACTAATTTTTCTTTATCATTCATTTTACGTTATTCATGATAAAATGCATCTAACTATGAGTTGAGAGCAAAACCCTAAACCCCTTTTTCTCAATTAAGATATTATGCATTTACCGAATTCTATCTATACTTGAGAGATTATTCGTTTGGTACAGAGAATAATTATTTTGTAAGAATTTTCATCCATCAATGTTGTTTAGCCTTTTCATTTAAAAAATGGTTTATTTCAATGCAACCATATTCAATTTAAGTTCTGCTGGATGAAATGTACACATAAAATTCTGATAAAATTTTAAGTACAGTCATAAAACATTCAAAAATGTAGTTTATTACTTAAAATGAATTATATCACATAGGAATGCAGATCCTTATCCTGTTATAATAAAGTATACTTTTAAATATATTCAAGTCAATTATTGAAATGTCCATGATTTTTTTTAAAGAATATCCTCTTCACATTAATTCTCTGATCATGTCTATGTGTCGCAATGGAAAAATGCAAAACTGTAAATGTCATTGTGTTGTTGACAACAGGAATTATAATCGATAAAAAACAAACAAGTAATTTATTGCATTCTTTTCTCACATTCTTCTCCTAATTCTTCATTCCAAGCGTTGTTCTTCACTGCCCACTCGTACTTCGTTTTTTTTTCACTTTTATTTTAGTCTCCATACTTTTTCACGTTAGTAACTAGTTCATCATTATCATCATTTTGATTTATGTGCATTTTTTGCAAAAATTTAATTTCAAATTCAAAAGGAACTTACTAGTTTTTTTTTTTTTTTAAATTAGAGAGGGATTGAAATTAATAATTTGCTAATGAATAACTTTCCTCATCTATCATATGATAGTTGTATGTAATTGTTTTTAATTGTATTTTCTACATTGTTCAATAATTTCATTAATCATTATGTTTTTCAAGATTCCACAATTGTTTAAAAATTGTTTCATTCGACAAATATTCTGTTAATTCATCAAGTTTTTTCTTGTTTTGTTTTTGTTGTGTTTTCTTTCCAATATCATAGAATCAACACTCATTTATTCACAATCTTGATATGTTCTGATGACAAAAATTTGCAGGTTGTATTTTGAGTGTGAATTGCTTGTTTTAATGTAATAAACTAGATTATTAGTTAGTTCGTAATGTTCACTCAATCTCGACATTGACTCTTTTGAGTTTCACATTTTATAGTTCTCATAAAATATAATTGTAAATTGAATGCTTAGTAGATGTTGTTCAACCAAAATTTATTCAGTGAATTGGTTTAACTATTTCATAACCTAAGCTTGACGAGACGATCTCTGTTTCCATTTATTTACATTAGCCGATCACATTGGTTGTTTGTATCGCTGAAGTATGCATTTCTGCGAACGAATAAAACATTTCCACATCACCACCATATATGATATTCAAACTGATTATATTCCGTTGTATGAGTGAAACGGTATTTTTTTAGTATGTAAAATTATTATGTAGTTGAGGTACCGGGTTCTGTTGCCATCTTGTTCCTATTTTCGTTCTTAGTATTTTACCTAGAATTTTTCAACTAGCATACTTATGTAATGATACACTGGATATACTGAACTGTATCTTACTCGTTTGGTAATTACTTCAGATATTGTTGTTTTTCTTTTTTGTCACTGAACTTTTTATTTGATTCTGTAAATACTTTACCAACTTGAATGAAGCGATGTTACATAATATGATACGAAGTTAAAGTAATAAAATAATCACATAATATACATCTTTAATTTTACAATTACAATTCATAGTTTTTCTAAAGTTCTGTCGCATTAAATTATAATTGCGTGTGATAGGATACAATGCATTATTTAGTTAGGCTGTAAATATATAAGACATTGCAAGTAATTTCAAGTCGATTGGTGTACATTTATTGGTTATAAGGTTACTTACAGAGTGTATTACTAGGTACATAATCCATCTAACTAAGGATCTGTTTAAAGTGTTGATATTAAAGTTTACTTGAGAGAAGTGAAGGGCTTTTAGGTTGGTCGATCAATAATTGTTCAGTATCATTCACAAATTCTTGTCTCTAAAAAACGTTATGCTTATAATAACAGAGATGGATTATATCAAAAGACTTTTGTAGATATTGTGTGGGTGTTTTTAGTTGAATAAATAAAAATTTACACATTTTCTTAAGCTGGCTACGTAATAAATACTTTTGTTATACTTAATAGATTTCCAGAGAGATCAAAAAAAGTGGGTTATACAGAAGATCATAACAAAATAATGTCTATACCGAAGGAATATTCAAACTCCTCTACGTTAAACTGTAATTTAACTCGAACAAAATTACTAAGCAATTTACCGGAATGTTCACGATTTTCTCAACTATACAACAGTATAGGATATGAAAATTTAAAAAATGATAGATTCATGAAAGTAGTTGACAGTTCACGCAATGTATTTCCTACTGTTCGTAGTTCTTGTTTTAAACAAACGGCTTCACTTCATTCAAATAATCAATCTGCAGTATACTCAACTGCGGTACTTCGTCCTCCACGTCCACCTCAAAGAACCACATCCTTAGTCAGAGATCATCAGTTTCCCAGGGCAAATGGAGTTAATAATACAGATGCATCATATTCTTCACGTAGCAGTCCATCTCGTAATGTAATCAGCTCTAATCAGGATTCAAACAGTCAGGTATGTTTAAAATGAATAATGTTTTCTAGGAATTACATGATCACTTGAATAAAGGAGTTTTAATATCCATTGATTTATAGAAATCTGTACTAAGATAATTTATCTCTTTTGTTCCTCAGTACAAACTGACTCTTCTTTTCGCTAGACAACTCAAAGAGTGAACATTTCGTGAGAAAATTTCACTGACCAATAATATTTCTTCAAATGATGCTTCAATCAAATGTACTGCAGTAAACGTCAATTTATTCATGTTGAGGTCAGTGTTGGGATAATGTAGAAAACGTTCCACTCAAGTGGATGTCCTTGGTAGTGCAAAGTTTTCTGAACTGACTAACCTTATCCTCAGTTAATACTGTCGTTTTGGACAATAATAACAACGCAAAATCAGTTTGCATAACTTTGTTTATGAACAGTTGTTTTCGCAGTTTCGTTTTATCATTTTGTGCTAGTGTTTTCTCATTGACTGTTGTGTTCGGTGAGACGTTGAGTACATATCTGACTAATCTTTTGCAACTGGACTGACTGATAAACTGAATGTAAGTTTTCTTCATGCTAGTCGTGTAATATTTAAGTAACGTATATTTTAACAAAGCTACGTAAACATTAGCATTACACTTTTAAATTAACCAGTCTGTACTGCTTTATTGGTTGATCCTGAACTGAAACTGTACTTAATCATTCACATTCCTACCGATAGTGGAATAATTCTAAAGTGAATCAGACTTGCTAATGATAATTTTTTTCTGGTAAAGTTAGTCACTTACCACAGAATATGTATTTGTCAAAATAGTTTGTCAGTATTAAATGGCCATTAACTTTTTTTATGGAATTCGGCAATGAACTTAGTGCTGAGAGATCTAATTACTCACTTAATTATGCCTGTTACCCTTCGTGGAGTGTAGGCGACCGACCAGTAATCTTCAGCCAATTCTGTCTTGGAATCTTCAGTTGTTCTCAATTACTATTCGTTCTTCTGGTGTGTACCGCTAATTCTCGTCGCAGTGTCTTCTCTGGTCTATCTCTTTTCTCCTGGCCTGGAGAATTTCATGTTAAAGCTTTCCCTGAGAAGCAGTTGGGTGATTTTTGAAATGTGTATCTGATTCACCTCCAGCGCTTTGCCCTAATTTCTTCGTCAATTAGAATCTAGGGCCCTTCTGGGGTTACTGCCATTCTCAAGCCTGTATAAGAGAGGAGGGTAGGTCATTGGGTTAGCAACCGCATCTAATAGGAAACAAACTTACTAAAAAAACGCTTTCCAGGGAGATTAAGCGTTTAATGAACGCGTTGAGCAGCATAGAATGTTTGGTTCAGTTTGAAATGGTTTGGTTTTCTCCTGCTGTTGATATTTTTAACTGACGTTTAATCGGTCATGGTTGGAATATGGGCATCTTCTACAAACTGCTTCAATAAAGCTATTTTTACATAAATCGATTTAGAACAGATGTCAAAAATATGAACAAGACGATCCAAACCATTTTATACCTTGTTGACCAAGTGAATGGCTATTTGGACTCAGCAACCAAGTGAATAATATGATGGCGTTTAAAGCTAACGATACTGAAATTGAGTCTCAGAGTAACCATCAACTCTGCAGATACATCCAGTTGATGAGTCCCACGTAGGATGAAACGCACATCCTGCATTCCACTGCTAAGCACATTCTATTTATTCCATGGATTACTTAGAAATCTCCACTTATTTGAATTTGATGGCATAGAGTTTAAATTCTCCGTAGTTGACGATTAACGATACTCTAGAATATCCCCTAAATACCTGGGCGTTTTTCTTTTAGCTTGGTGTCATCTTAGGGGACAAATATCCCTTTTAGAAGTAATTGTTTCGGTCAATCAATCATAGAATGGAACCTGGGATAAATGTATTTCAGTCTATGTTGTCACTTTTTTAGTGAGTGCGAAATAATACTAAACATGATTTGTATACTTCGCAAGGTACTAATGAGATAAAAATATCTGAACTGTGGAGTGATATTAAACCCGAAATTTCGTGGAAGGTGGATGGTGAATTCGTTCGTGCTATTTCGAATAGTTTGAAGTTATGTCACTCAAGGTTTCAATTAATTTATGAGGAAGTAATGTATCCCACGATAACTTGTTTTATTTAGAGTAAATATTTAGTAAGCCATGTTCGGTTAGTACTGTAATGCACAGTACTTTGAACATGAATGTGAGAAAGTGATTTCTACTCATTAGAATCTAAGCATTAATTCACCTTGACTATGTACAATGAAACAGTTCAGCGTATTAAAAACTCTAATTGCCGTGGAATCTCCATAAATTCCAACATGCATAATAAAATCTTGAATAAAGCTGTGCAATGTCTTATTTGTAGCATTAAAAGGATAACATGTATGTATGTTACAGATTAATGCACGCTTATTCTAACATAGTTCTGCTGACTGTAACAGTTGGAAATAGATTATAAGAATAAATGTGTATAACAATTGATGACTAAGAAGAACTGATTCTCTTCGTTTAACAACTCAACGAAAAGTATCGAGACTTGGTCGTAATCTAAATTAATGCGATAACTTTATAAAAATATCTCAGTGTACCAATTATTTTGTTGATAAAATATTTTGCACAATAGATTTTTTCTAAATATGCTGTAAGTCCACTACTTAAGCTACGTTTTCTTATTTACATTCTTCTTTGACCATAATGTACTCAGTTTTATACGTATTTAATCGTTTTTTTGTGTCTTTAACTGATTTTCTGAATCTATTGTGTCACAATGTTCGTTGAATAAATGTCTTAAAGAATGCTAAATATAAATAATAGACAAGCTTTAAGTGCATTCATTATGTCAGCGGACATGTTCAAGACTAAATGAAGGTAGTTTTTAAAAGTTTATATTAGTTAACTCTGAATATGTTAACAGTGAAATTGTAATAAACTATGAAATTCTATTTAAAATTATATAAAAACAGCTTTATTCTGATTTTAGTCAACATCGACAATTGAAGTACAGTTGATTTAGTTTCCGTTTCTTTTCTCTTTCAGATATGCCCAACTACGTCTTGTTGTAAACCATTAGATAATAATATGAATAATCATTTACCCGACAAATTAATCGATAAAGAAGTTAGTGGTTTAAACTCTTCAGATAATGACACAGTATGGTGGTCACATTTATTACCTTACAAACCGTCGAATCTACCGAGTAATTTAGCTGATCGTTTAAGGCAGAGAAATAGTTTAATTATTTCGCGAAGTTCACCAACAACTAGATTATCTAATAGTTCACTACCAACTTCATTTCCAAATAATACCAAGTCAAGTAATAATAATAATAGTAATCTACAAAATATAATGATACAATCAATGTATGAACATAGTGATTCTGGCGACTATACCGGGTTGCGACCTGATATAGCATCTTTATATGGTATACAAAATAAGCATGTCAATGATACGCGATTAAAACAGTCCAGGCCCATAAGTATGCATACAGATTATTCACATTATACTAATAATGCCTTCTTCCTACCGTCATTAACCCATTTTAATACAACAATTAATTCAGATACTGTAACTTGTTCATCACCATCAGCCTTATCTTCAGCTTCAATATCTTCTTTACAACAACAACAACAACAACAACAACAACAAAAAACAAGAACACGACCATCCAGTCTTTCATTGACGTCATCTTTTACAAATGTTATACCTAAATTAAACAATCTAATGAAAACAAACAAGTTACACGATGCATTAAATTCATCAAAATCCACATCGTCATCCTTGTCTTCGACTTCCACTACTTCTGAGACTGTGACTACTAACAATTCACAGTCACTTCTTCAAAGCAATACATGCAATATTATTCCGGATTATTTATTAAAATCATGTGCACCTAGTGATAGTCCATTACTTGGACAATATTGTCGTTTATTGTTACTTCGAACAAATGATGATCGTGCTGATATTATTGCTACTGATGACCATATTAATGATTTGAATGACGAAATTAATAACACCATTTCAACACCAATTGAATATTCGGTTAAAATTACGCCAACTGCTGAAACACCTGTTACACCTGTTTAGTGCATATATATATATATATATATATATATATATATATATATACTTTCTTCTCATGTCTTTCAAATAGTAACATCACAATTGATTACATTCGTCCCACAGACATTTTGTCTTGTTGCATCTTTACAATTAAAAAATTGTTTATCATAGTCAGGTAGATAAACATCTGTTGGCCTAAGTAATATTTATACCATTTAAATAGTTTCTTTTCGTTTCGAACTTTTTTTAATTTTACCAATGTAGAATTTATCTACATTAAAAAATTACACAAAAATCCTCAAAACAAGAGCACAGTTTCAGAAAATCAATGTGCTTCACTGCTGCTTATAACAACATGTCAAATCATAATTTTATAGCTGTTAATGACTAACAGTGGTATCGAAGTCACACCATTTTGACAAACAATGTCATTTCTGCTATATGGCAAGACTCATGGAGAAGAATCATATTTAATTAACTGTGCACGTAGATACTTTCAATTTTTATGGAAGAATAATAATTCTTCATTCAATTATTCAACAGATATTTTTTATTCACTGAGTGTTTTGAACGGCTAGTTGACTTTCTTTTATTTCGTTTTTCAATGCTATCACATCATTTTATTGTTTATTTCGCATTTTTTCCAACATGTATGTAACTAGACATGTTATGTATCTATGTAAATATACTCTTGATATTCATTTATCAAATATCTAATTCTTGATCAGGTATTTCTTTTCCTACTAAATGAACAATTCATTTTCGTAGTTTTATCATTTGTTAAATATAGTTCTATGATTTAAGAAATACTCACAGCTCTTTGAAAATATAAACTTTTAATTTATTAATTGAATCGAAACATGGACAAAGATTTCTATGTTTATTTTTGATTTCATTGTATTTATTATTATAATTATTGTTAACACTAGCAAGTGGAATTATGGCTAGGTCATTTCCCCTTGATCTTTATCACTATTTCGTAAATAAATAAATGCACACAAACATATCAAGTCTTCACATTCAAATATTCGTATTAGCTGGAAGTAGCTTTCTATGTGTATGTGATGATTAGTTATGCAAGAAATAAAACTCAACAAATATTCAAATCTATTCAAGTACGAATGATTACGATTTATCGGAATGAAGTTTTATTAAAATATCCCACATTAACTGGACATAAAAAATTTTCGTTACGTGCCTGTTCAAGGATTTTGAGATTAGGTTGGAAAAACTTGAAAAATCTTGGAAACACAGTCTGTTAAATGTACTTCTGTGTTCTGTTACCATTAATGTCAGTCTTGGGCAAAGAAGAATACTTTGATTCTGATGAAACAAAATATTTCTCAGAGTGATGAACATCATGTGCCATAATGTCGTTACCTTTTACTACTGTGTTGAAGTGAACGACTGAAAAACAATTGTGTAAAATTCAGTTACGAAACTTACTGCAGGCCATTTTTCACAATGATATTTTGATTCAATTTTTAGTATATATGATCAGTATTTCAATGTTAGTTTTGAAAATAGATAAATTGAGATAGAACTTGCTACAAGTTTAAAATACTTAACATTGATACGATATAAATGTCAAAATGAAAGACGGTGGCGTTATCCAGTTTAGTAGTCTGTCATAAATTTGTGATCAGAGCTAATCACTGCTTCTAAGCTCTCGACTACTATTATGGCATATTTTTTTATCATATTATTGAGAGGAATCGAAATGAGACACCATAAACCTTGTGCTGTTAGATGAAAAGGTTTTCATAAGTTAAATAGACGTTTATGATTGTCCTTTACTGTCCAAAGTAAGAAAAGGTGGAGCGCTTTTTGATAAAAGACCACTAGAGCAAGTGCAGAGTAATGGAAAGAACACTCTGAAAATGCCTCCACAGCTTTTTATTTCTTCGCTCTTTTACTGTTTTACATTCAACTTGTAGTGTGTACTGATATATCGAGCCCACACGGCTTGCTTCAGCCTTTGGACAAATTAGATAATCCATTCTTCTCGTGTCATTATTCACTCGTTTTTCGACCTTGGCAATTATTCACTTATATCTTAGTTCTTTTTATTTGAGCATGTGTGTGCATGCTTACTTCTTTTTTTACATACATAGCCTTATTTTCTGGCTATAAATACCTGGCTCTCTTGTCTTCGCCCCTTCGCTTTACTTTACTTTTACGATTTGTAATTTCATATCTGTCTGCGTTAACGATCACACGAAATAAATTCATCCACGAAACAGGATTTCGTTTATTATTACCACCGTCGCACAGGCGGGGTTCGCCTAAGTTTGATGAATGAAGGGAAGATTTACCTCATCGCATACCTAATCATTCATCAGAATTGGAGTCATAACGCCGGCCACTAAAGTGGTGAGCTCTAATTTGAATTAAACTCAGCCAATATACACATTTGTTTTCAGGACGCTCATTACCATGTTTTGTTTTTCTGTCGTTAGTATTCAAATTTAATTGATGTTTACCTTCGCTATTTTAATTTTACCACTGTTCGTTGCTACATAAGTGATAATTAGGTCGTGTTTGATTGAACTCTAGATTACTGCATTGTTTCCTGAATGACTGCTGATCTTCGACTGCCTGTCAGAAACGGTTACTCGAATCCTTGTGATTAGATATTTTAACCCATTTTTTGGGAAACCTCTTTTTGATTCTTAGGTACTAAATATCTATTCATTAAATATTCGTTTTACTTTTTAGGACGCTATTTTGTGTCAGAGAAACTTAAGACAGCGAAGTACAGGCCGTACTGCTTGAGGTATTTTGTAATTTACATATGGCTGGTTCCTTTCTAAAAATTAGAAGTATTTAAACTGAACACAGAATTTTTATTTTGATATAATCTAACACCTCTCACCCAAAAACGTATCTTCGTTCATTAGATTCCTTAACCCCATATTCAAACCAAACATTGATAATTTAGTCATTTTTGTCAATGTGAATAATATTTTCCTTATAGTAGGAAATAGCAGTTTAATATTCATCTTTAGGGATTTCAAAAGCCGACTTCTAACACCTTACCTTGGAAAATTGTATGTCGTGAATTATGTATGGTTGGAAAGGACTATGGGTAAATTGAAGTGGGTTAAAACAAGCTCATATGAATTCACTACAATTTTAGACGTGTTTACGAACCCCATTAAGGCTACGGCTGATGGAACTACTGATGAAATAATATATCCTTCTGGTGACGTAAGTGAGTTGCCTGAAGTATGAATCTTGTCAATTGAGCTGAGGTGTTTACATCACTGGTCTTGTTTAATCCAATATCCAATATCTTTTTCACGAGCTAGTGTGAACCAATTTGACTTCTTCGTGCCTCATTATTATATTCTGTAAATAAACATTATTGCTAACAAATTCGTTCTTCTGAATTTCCTCTATTCATACGACTAACTTCCCATTAGTTATCTAACTACTGAATTGTCTTTATTAACCTACATAAGCGCAGGTGTACAGTTAGTGTTCTGATATTTAAAAAAAGTCTGAGTAAACATACCTTTGTTTTATCCATGATCGTATGTGCGAAGCCGTTGTTCGGCTTTCAACAAGAATATTTTCTGTTCCGCTCCTCGTCCCGTTTTCTTTATTCCTCTTTTTTCAGCACTTTATTCCAATCCTCATATATTAGTCTAGATATTTGCAGTAGACTTTGTTACCCTACCCAGGAACATGTGAAATCATTAGCTGATGAATATCAACCAGACCTTTGTACATTTACCGCATCGATTCTTGTTATATGCAAACCTGTCTCTACCATGAATCGTTTCGCAGTCGATAAGATGGTAGTCGTAATGCAACCTTCGTAACTCGCGCCAGTTATTCACATTGTACATTTCATCTATAGTAATCCAATGAATCTCGTGAAACGATTCAGTAACTGTAAACCGTTTTAAAAGAAATATGTTGCTAATCTTAAGATTTTGATTTTGCCTGTAAATTGGCATGTCTCTTGTAACCAGTTTGTTATTTGAGAATAAATTATTATTATTATTATTAATAATGCCCAGAAAAACAAACTGACTGAAGTAATGCTGCAACTGCCACTCCTGGGGTTTGATCAAATACTATTAGCTGGAGATTTCAATATCCTATCTCTAAATCCCAGCAATCAGAGTATAACTCCAAATGGTTGGTTCCAAAGACGAGTTGGCGCAGCCATTAGATGCTCTGGGCTAACTGAGCACGTATGTAGTGCCACTAGATAGACTAAGGAAAGAAAGTCCTCAAACCTGGATTATTTGTTAACAAATGAACAGCTCCTGGTCGAGGATGTTCAAGTCCAGACACCAATAGGAAGTAGTGATCATGGCACGGTCTTGTTAATTATGGTCATAAACGAAACACTCACACAGAACGAAAACGAGCCCTATATTTGCTACACTAGGGAAAACTATAGGCGTATGACAGAGGTCCTCCTACATAACCGATGGCTACGGGAATGGTGGAGGCTGACGGTAGATGGTCACTGGCAAACGGTGAGAGACATCATCAAAAATGCTGTCGTATACAATGTACCTCATTCACAATGCCAGCTGATGGCTCAGGGAATATCCTGACTTAGTACTAAGGAAACTAAAATCCTTACACCCAGGTAAGTCACGAGGTTGTGACAAATTCGCCCCATAGTCTTGAAACAATGTGCAGAATTCCTCTATTCACCGACATGTGACCTGTTCAGCCATTCACTGGAGTCACACCAACTCCCAACTGAATGGAAAAATCCTATTGAGGGAGTACATGGATAAGAATAAAATACTCCTTGAAGCTCAACACAGGTTTCGGAAGGGCAGGTCGTGTGCATCTAATCTTCCCATAGCATGGGATAGTTGGACACCCTGTTTAGACCGAAAAATACCTGTGCACGTAATATTTTTCGACTTTGCAAAAGCCTTTGATACTGTACCCCACGCACGCCTAATCGCAAAGGTTGCGGAAATGGGCTTCACTGACCCACTCGTATCTTGTTTCAGAAACTACCTTGAGAATAGAAAGTTTCGTACCAAGATAAATAGTGCTCGCGAGCTGGCGAGTATCCATATCGGGAGTTTCACAGAGGACCATCCTAGGCCCACTTATCTTCCTGATATTTATTAACGACCTGTTTGGCTCAGTTAGCTCACTGGCATTGATCTACGCAGACGATGCGAAGATCTGGAGGTCCATTAGAAGCAAAGGGGATTCGACTGAGCTTCAAAAGGACCTTACGTCAACTGAGAAATGAGCAATGAAAAACGGTTTAAAACTCAACCAACCGATGTGCCACGTCTTGCATATTGTGCTTCACACGACGCAAACGATCTAAGCCCTCAATGGAAATCCACTCCCTAATGTCTACTCAGAGAGCGAAATCGGTTTAATAACCACAGAAAGCCTCCACACGAGTCCAAACTATGTAAGGGACGCAGCCGAGGCAAATGCGACTCTTCACTTTATGCGAACACAACTTGGTGCTATCACCTCAGAATTACACTTTACATTATTTAAGACATATGCGCGCCCACATCTGGAGATCCACAACGTCATCACACTCTCTCTGATTTTAAAAGACATAAATCTCTTGGATCGAGTGCAGAGACGAGCAACCAGATGGGTTATAGGGTTTAAAAATAAACCTAACGACGATAGACTCCAGCACTTGGGATTATTTCCACTGAGCTACAGGAGAGTCAGAGGTGATGTGATTATGGCGAACAACATATTAAGCACGCTTACCATCCCAATGTGAGCATCTTACCGATGTATCACTACCACTCCCCTTGAGGCAAAGAGCGAACACTCAGGTTCGTGCACACTTTTTCTGATTGAGAGTCGTCGCAACCTGGAATGCTCTTCCAGCCGAGGTGACTTCAGTGGACAGCTTTAAGAAGAGACTTGATAACTAACTAACTTGATACTAACATACGGAGTATCATCTCCATCCTCGATAAGCTGTGCTAGTTGTTATCATTGACATCTCCGATCACTCAATTAATCTATCTCGCCTATTATTTCTGTTTCCTCTCCTTTGCTTACACTTCGGTCCTCTCTCACAATCTTCACTACCAATTATTAAACTAAATCGACCATATATTACTTAGTTCCGAAATATTATTCATATTAGCATTAGAATTTTATCCTTATTATTCTCCACATTGCAACTAGCTCATCTCCGGTCTGATAATGAGGCGGTTTCATTCAAATCCCTAGACATACACTCACACTCAACTGCCGAATGACTAGAATTAGACCGTCAAGTGGCTAGACCTCCATTCATTGGAAACTACCAAACACCTGGAACCGTACCGAAAGAACGAGAATCGAGTGCAAAGAAACCAACGGGTTTACACTAGCTCGTGAAGAAGATATAGGATATTGGATTATCTGATGAATATCAGCCAGATCTTTGAATAATTCACCTAATCAAATCTTGTTATATTCAGACCTGGAATTAACTTGCATCGGCTCTCAGCCACTCATTGGTCGTCGTTATGTGCCTTCACGCTGATTATAGTAGAGGTAATGAAGACATATGTTAGCCTTCAAAAAATCGTTAAATTCATTGAGACTGTTGAAATCAACTGCACACTTACTTCACTAGGCATATCATCATTGCTTAGCATCAGGACAAAAACACAAAGGAAGTAAAAGTTTGGTCATAACTTGGCCCTTGGGAATTGGATGTCATATCACCCCTTTTGGAGGTCAATCAAACTTGCGCGCAACAATGGACAGCCCCAGGATTTTCTTCGTTTTGTTGTTTGATGGTTACTTTAAAGTTAAACGTATCGTCTGGGGAGGAAATCTCATATTTCCCAGTCGATCAGTGGATTCCCACAAACAAAAGATACTCGACTTCTCTGTTGGTGCAAACAGTCTTGTGCAAATAAATATTTCAGTTTTTGTGCTTTTCCATGAGCTAGTAAGTATATTCTGGTTTGCTCTTTAGTTTTGATTGAATACGAGGCTACTACTATTTTGATCGAGGTAGTCGCATTCTTAAAAGAAAAGTCCCAAAATATCTATTACACCACTGTTATCATCATCAGTTTTCAATATTCTTTATTTGAATCGGCTCAACGTTACATAATCCTTGGCAGTTTTGTCGAAAGAGCAAAATCATGAAGGATTCTGTCTTACTTTCTCGACAGTTACCTATGACAACCAACCCTCGCGGTATACAGGGTTTTCCACCGGGTAACCAAGTTTTTGAACCAACTATTATAAGGGGTACCAGAGTTGTCAATTGGCTCATTCGGTAAAGAACATCAAATGTTCACTGGCATGCTAATGTAGATATCTCACTACCTTAAAAATACCGTTGGTTACTAGTCAAGGTGTGTATCCTGTAGAGCTGATGTTTTTTGGTTGTAATCTATTCGTTAGAAAGAATTCCATCCATCTCCTTAGGGTATCAGTAGTTACTGTGGACTGCAGTTCGACGAATAAGGGATTGTGGGATACTTTGCAAATTCTTTCGATGTAGGCTTGCAGTACGTATACTGGTTGCTTTAAGTCACTTCGTTTTAGTTATGTTGTAAAGATCGATCGTTGATCATTTTCTGTGTCACGTGAAAGATAACAGAAGTGATGCTTACTGGTCTGTAGTTCTAAATTAAGTTTTCCGATCCCAATTATTGCTCAGGGACTACACAAGTTACCTTTTAGATTCCGGTACGTTTCACCTACTAAGAATATAGTAAAGAGCTTAAGAGGATTGTTAAATCAAGACTCGTATTTCTGGAGAAAACATTACACGCTATCAGCAACTGAGCTTTCAGTAAGTTTAAGATTTTTGATGGGATATGTGATATTGCTGAGACTGGAATTGGTGTTACTGAGTTCTGTGAAATTGGTTAGTTTCTGTTTTTACATCGTTGAAGAACCAGTCAATTTGTAGTTCACAAATGACTTGTCGGTCTTCATAATTAACTCCATTATGTAGTATAGGGTGTATGTTGTACTGTGCATTGTTTTCATGCGTGCTGCACTAACACATCAAAGATTCTGAGATTTGGAAATGCCTTTGATAGCTGTCTCGATATAGTTTGCTTAAGCGTCGAATTTCGATTTCATTAGTACGAATGTTTTGGAGAACATAATGTATGGTCACTAAGGCTGAAATGTCACTAGGTTTATGAAATTGAGTTGATATAGATCAGTTTAGTTTTCTAATTGCTGATGTTCGTGTATATTTGGGAAAGTGCTGTTGAACAACTTGATCTTAACAATATTCGGGGTTTGTTTAGTGTAATTAGTATTGAGATCAAGTCATCATTTAAAAAGAAGACTTCCAAATTATCTCTTGGTGGTAGATTCAGTTTTTCCTTCCATGTCGAGAAACGGATGAGTTATGCTTACTCGGCTTATGCAGAAAGACCTACCTTTTGATCACTCTGTGAACGAATGAGTAAAACAGGTGATACTCGGAAGGATACCGTCTGTAAACTTGAGATCCGCAGCATTTTCGTTCGCACTGGGGAACAATTCGTTCTGTCCATCCATATAATTCAATTGTTTATGGATGCTTATATGGGCATTTCAAAGTTACTTTTTAATATCCTGTGAGTAGATGAGAATGAAGAGACATGTTCAGAAGCATATGTAAAGATGTTGAAGAGCTATTCGTTTGACTCAGTAAATAAAAAAAGCTTCATTGATCAGAAAAGTATTCCGTGTGACTCACTAACCGTTGCTCTAGAGTTGGGAATGACTTTCGGTTTCAATATTAGATGAGTTTTTTCTACGATTTTAATTAAGTTAACGGAGTAATAACACTAATATATGTAAACAGTACGACTTTTTCTGATTTGCAGTATCCATCTAAGGAAGCATCAACTATCCCAGTGGATCGAGATGGAATATTATCAACACAGGTTAATGTAATTTCTTCTACTTACTTTAAGGAACAGGATTTTATTACAGCTCTGCATAAAATGGATCTGGAACTTCCCATCGAGGAAGCACATTTCATATTTCAGACTAACCACCTTCCATTGTCACTTTTCAGATCCGTACACCCTGGAGTATCTACAAAGTCGGTAAGATACGTTCTCAATCTAATATTTTAGAACTCTTTAATTCACTGTAAACCTGGAACCTCATCATCCGTCGAGACTTGTGAAGTGGAAGTTGTTGCGGACCCGGATATATCGGCCAGTGTTCTCCCCAGCTCTTCACCAACGTTTGTTGCGGAATTTCCGCCTATTTCCCCGACGAACTCATGGGTTGAACAAAACAATCGAGATTCAGTTGACGCCCAATCTGTCTCCTTGCTGTCTCTCAATCTAGATTCGGATGAGGAAAAAGTGACTTCCAATGTACCGACGGCATCCAGTCATAAGGTTTCTTCAATTGAATCTGTTAACAGTGGAGAGGTTTCTGTACAAGAGACAAAATTCAATCGACTTTCTCATCCTACTGAACGTTCGAGGGATTGTTCAGGTTGTGATGAAAATACAAGTATTTATCAGGTCAGTTAGTATATGTGTGCCTCTATTTCGTGCCTATTCATGCTCATCTAAAAAATCAATAAGAATAGCATATGAATGATGTAAACTAAAACGTTGAGTCCGAAATTGCCTGTGTCTTTTGTATGCATATACTTTTTTCATTTAAATTACACCCTTACTGCGTGAAGATTTCTACTTCATAGATTTTGAAGTTAACTGAATGCTTTTCTGTATTTGCGTATTGCATTAGAAATTTATTTACCAGTAAATATCCGCAGGATTTTGTTTTCTGTTTGATTACCTCGTAGCAAACTTAAGTAGTGAAAGCCTTCGCATTTATTAGTACTCAGTGCTGTAGTCGGTACTGAAGAATTTCAAGCAAATCATGCGAAGTTTGTGCAACGTTGTTAGCTGATTCTGAAACTTGGTCGAAGTACATACTGTTACTAAGTGACAATCTGGGCCAAAGAGAAATAAATTTAACGTCAAAAACATTTGCCTTCATAGCTTATTAAGTTACACAGTAACCATACGGATCTTTTATGCAAAATTTTACAAATAAGTGATATTTGTACTTCGTAAAACTGGACGCACACGACCTCACTGTTTTTGGTTCATGTATAAATTATTTACTTGAAATGCGTTTAATTATATTTAGATCATAGAATCTACGGCAAATACTTCTCAAAGAGATTCTGCTGGAAATGCTTTAAGTGTGCTGTTATCAGACGGATTTTCGAAATCGTCGTCCAATATACAGAAATCGGACGATAATTCATGGACTTCAAATGTCTCAACACAGTCAGTAAACTATGCATATCAAAAAACTGATCTTCAGATAAGGTGTGAGAGTTCGAGCAGTTCAGATAATCTTCATCGTCGTGGGTATCTTGGTGATAATAAAGAGTCAAATAATATGATACAATGTAGTTCAAGCTCTGATTCTGAACTTGACTATAAGTTTGATCGTGAATATTCTATTCGTTATAATAATCTTCAAAATTCAAGAAGTTTGAAACTAGTTGACACAAATAGTGTTCTTCATACGCCTGGTACTTGGTTATTAGATAATAGTAAACTTTCGAAAATAGAGCACAAAAGAATCCGCTCAGAATCCATTGATAAGCCTTCAGGTACAGAGTTACAAATACTTGCACCAACTATTTATGATCAACACTCATTGAGCTTTTCTAATCCTAAAGACAATGTGTACGAAAAAAGTTCGTCTTCAACATGTTCCAATTCAGCAGCCAGCAAGCGATCGGATCGTTATATTCGTGATATCGATATACTTGAAGTTGCTGGAGTTCCATTTTCATATGAAGATGTTGTATATTCGACAAATGAAGAGTTTCGCCAACTAAGAGCCACTCGTGGTCTAACAGAGGAACAGGTAAGTTACTTTATGTACCAGAATAGTTTTTGAAACTACCACCAACTTCATGGTGGATAGTTATTCATAAACCAAATAAAAGTGGTTTGATTTTGTCATCGAAACTCCAACAAACTCAGTAGTGACGTAGTCTTCAAGTACGTGAATAAAAACCACATAAGAATCAGAAAAACAGGGAGGACGAAGTAGTGTGACTGTCCAGAGGTTAAGTGTAACTACAATTGTAAGTTGTTTCCAACTCCATCACTTAGGGTTTTCAAATTTGTCTATGACTGAGACCTGAAGTTAAATTCTCTTAAGGAAAAGGCGAACTTTTTCGTTATTATGCAATTTGTGTTTAGTGTTGTTTACACTTTATGGGGATATTTTATTTTAATGAGTAAATAGTATTTTGGGTTCTTAAATTTAAGGTGTATTTCCATGAATCGTGAGAATTATGTGTATTTTCTAGCCTAGCTTCCAATGTTTTAATTTTAGAGACTTCAACGCTCATGCTATGGACTACAAATATCTTATGAGAAAGTCATTCGGACGAAAAGTGAGCTGATGTGATTAACGCGAGTGTCTTTGTTGTATGAAGAAAAGCTAGTTAAGGGATTTTTAGGATACCTAAAACGCCTATATTCGAACATAAACCGAAGAACAAAGATGGGAGGCGATATCATAGCATTATATGATGATGACATTATTATATCGAACGGAGAGGGCGACTGAGATAAAGCTCAGGTGTTCACATACTGCTTTGACCATGCATAAACCCAATTTCCTTGCACATAAGTAAATTCCTCAATCCATGCTTTGGATCCTAAGATCATTGAAAGACTCACTGTCTTTGATTTGTTACAGAAGCCAGTTAGACTTTCTGGACCTGATGAAATGGCTAAAGGAACTTGCTAACTTCATCACAAATCTTTTAAACATATATTTTAATGTATGGGTAACTGAAGCCACATTACCAGAAGATTGAAAGAACATCACAGTAGGTTCTGTCTTCAAAAACAGGTACGAAGCGTAAACCTAAGGATTATGAGCTAGTGGGCGTATCAATGTGGTTGTTCAGGTTCTAGAAAAGATTATCCACAAGTAGTCTAAGTATCTAGGTAAGAATATGGCGATGTCCAAAATGTAGCACCGTTTTGGAACAGGTTATTCATGTCCCTCAAACTTAATAGTAGGCCGCAAAAGCTGGTGTGCCTTTAAAGACCAAAAACCACCTATAGGGATGACAATAATCGATTTAACTAAGGATTTCGATAAAGATCAACTCAATGGGTTACGATATTAGCTAAGTAGTGAGAGATCGGAGTTAACCTGCTTATGTAAACAAACGATTTCCTAGTTCGGGGCCAGCATTATGCAATCGATATTGTCTATCTGGAAGATTGCTCTAAGTGGGGTGCCGCAGAGTACAGGTTGAGTACCAATGTTATCTCCCTTGCGTGCGAATGAACTTCCTAGTCTCCTACTGTTGTATCTTGAGAAAGAGAATATAGATTTTGAAGTCTAGAGAATTCGTAATCGACATACCGAGATGTTATTGTCAGCCGGACCAGTGACCGATTTCACGCATTTTACATGTTTGCTACTGGACTCTAGTTTAGACGTCACCGGTTACGTCATCTCCTTTTTCTCACGATGGACTATAATAATAGGCCAAATGATTTTCCCCACTTAGATCATTACCAAAGACTCACACAAGTATGCGGTGGAAATACTTCATCACGAAGCATTTTTAAATGAAAAACCCTACTGTAAGCACGATCACAGCATAAGCTGTAGCAAACAGATTAAGCACCATATAATCTATTGGAGCTTATGCAAAAATATAACGACATTTATATCTGCTTACCATGCAATAAATCTGTGCATAATTATTCGCTTAGATCTTATAGCTTGCATTTTTACCAATAAACGTCCCGTTATATTTTCCATCCTCAGTTTGTTATCAAGATATCGACCGTGACAACAAATAATGGTGGTTTAGAGTTTACAACGATAGAAATTTCCTGATTGTCCTACTATTTGGTTGTTGAAAATAAATTGTTTCAAGTGCAATATGATACAGATAGATCACCATGATAAAATACTTGCGCGAAGAACAATGTTGGGCTACCGGTTATCTAGACACTCACTGATCTAGAAATATTATGTTCAGAAGTACTTGTTTGTTTGGATAACAACCTAATAGTTACATATGAACCGGCTTAAAATCAGAAAGAACACAGCACAAAATCGAATTTATTGCATTTGAAATTTCAATTATGTGCGGAAGATTGTGCTGAGAAATCATTGCTGTATCGAAACACCGCTAGAAGTCACCGCCACCCTAGGCCTGAAAACAAGACACGGTGCCGCACTATAGCTGCCTTTGGACTGAAAACCTTCATCCTTAAATAAGAAAAGCATCTAGCCATGCGTATTTCGATACCATTTCAACCTTGTAAACTTAGTTTATTTGATTTACGATTGAGTACTAAATACAAACAACCAATTCTTGTCTGGAAAGGCAGTGAGGTGTTGAAAATGGTCTAACAAACATCGGTCAAGTTGGTCCCCACAATCATGGAGCGGTTGTGTGATGCTAAACTGGCTAAACCAAATCTAGTTTCCTCGTCATGTACAATTTGAGATGTGGATTTTTCAAAAGTTTCTCAGCTTCGTAGTCGTAGTTCTGCAACAAACCCTCTCATTATTCGTATCTTTTAAAATGGAATTTACTGAGACACTCCAAAAATGTTCAGTCTCAAAACAAGTTACTTGTTAGGTTTAAACTGACTTTCCTGTTGAATCATCAATTTTGATTGCTTAACATAACACGTGGTCAAGTTGAATCAGCTGACGGAGTACGGCTACGACTAAAAAAGGTCACTTAGCAACTTGTCTTTCCCAAAACGAAACTAGCTGAATTTGTCGGTATAACCTCGTCGTTTACATGATCCTGTTGACACCCCACCAATAACATCAAACGGTCCACATTTCGATATTAATTTGGGACATTTAAACATTCCCGAGGATAAAAACTTCGTCTTCCTTCTTTAGTAGACTGTCAAAATAACAAAACAGACAACCTTAACCATACGAATGTAGAACTACTGTGTAATAGGTCTAGCTGTCTCAATCAACTGCTCTCTGCATAGTTGCTTTTACGGCAGCATACACACATTCATTCACTTGCAAACACTGGACTTGTGGAGAAGCAACTAGTTCGTTGCTAGGACAGTCAGTTTTAGATTTTAGTATCTATCCGGTTCTATTATTGCGTAGTATATATCCACCGAACTTAGTATTATTATTTCCCTCCTTAAAAACTTATATCTCGCGTATTTTCCACTTCGAATTATCTCTAAGTCGACTTTTGAGTTAATAACACACAGCGATGACGTTGCCACCAGTTCTTACATAATAAAAACTAGGAAAAATACTAGAGGTGTGAATTCCGTGGTTAGTTGTGAGTAGAGAGTCCCAGTTTTTGGGGACAGAATTGTGAATGGGCTCTGAAAGTCACTAATTCGCTTGCCTGTTGCCAGTTAAAACCAGTGGCTCTGCATTCGAACTTCCGCAGTTAATAGGTATACTGTAGCCGTGATAATCAGTACCCAAACAGTACTATGGAATTAAGCCAAGTCACCCCTGCTGGTGGTTCTTTTATGTTTGTCCACACTGTAAAATCATTCAGTCAAAAAATCAATGGCAGCAAAGCAAGAGGCCTCACAAAAAATAAACTTATCAATCTCCACTACTAAACCCGATTCACTTAACAAAAGATCAATCAAACAGACGATAAGCATATATATTTTTGCTCACATTTCCATGTTTTCTTTTTTTACTTTCAGCTAACAGCTATGTCGGATGCTCGTAGACGAGCTACTAACCGTCAAGCGGCTGAACGTTGTCGTCGTTTTAAGGTTGCTGCTCGTGATGAATTAGCAGAACGTCTTGCTGATCTTCGCTTAGAAAGGCAGACATTGACTAAGCGTCTGGTTAAGGCTCGTCAGCGTAAACGTGATGCAAGGTAATAAACTTGTGCACAATAGGTGCTAAATTAATAATTTCATTAACCCAATAGATCTCTTATTAGCAAAATTAAACTCACCTTTTCCACTAAGTTCAATCTTGTTAAGAGTATGCTGTTCAACTTTCCGAAGATGTGGTAGCGATACAACAGATTATCTCTCACTTTAATCTTAAGAAAAAAGTTATTGTGGATCGTACCTGTTGGTCGGTACATCCGTCATTTCGCAGCTCTTAAGCATGTGAAATAAAAACTTTGAACTACGAAACGTTACAAAGCATATTCTATGTGTGCTTGATTTTGGTCAACTTGATATTTTACAGCAATCGAATAAAAAGATGAATTCTTAAGGTAGTTTTCAACTGTTGGTTGTGAGTTTCTGTGTCAGTGTGTCATTGAAAGGCGTACATTAACTTTGTACAAACTCTCTTCTCGAACATTACTGATCGAGTCAGGATCTATGGTGCACTGTCATCGGAATTGATAACTTTAAGTAATGTTCGTCAGCGTTGTCTGTTATCTCTATTTTCGTTTAAGTTTTGTCATGAAAATTCTGTTGTAGATGACGCTCTCATTCTTCTACAAGGAGATTCACTTATTATCTTAAAACAAGTAGACGATATAGTTGTGGTTGTTGAAGGTGATGACAAAATGCAGTCTCCTGACCGCCTTAAGCAACAATCCTAGCATGTTGGGATGTGTTTCTCTCCCTCTAAATGCAAAATGTTGCTTCAGCACAGACGTGTATCCACATGTGAGCGAAATAGTTGAGCGTATCGGCCACTTCACTTTTCTTGTAAGTCTTATCAACCCTGATGAGTTGGTGTCTAATGAAATTTCTGCACGAATTCGGCAGGTTTAGTTTACTTTCGTCAGCTTGTGTTCTAGGCAAGATATCTGTCTAACAGTCAAATGTACTGCGCATCAGTTTGCTTTGAATTACTGAATGGTTTCGGAAGCCGAAGACATGAGAAAGCCCCATGTTTTTTAATCACCGGTATCTTCTAAGCATCATTATTAGCATATGTTGAGACCATTAGGTGAGCGACTCCAAGTTTGGACGCAGGTTACTAAGTGATGGCAAATTGGTTTATGAGGTAGTGTATCCCGACCGTAGCTGCTACCTTGACGTGGTGGTCGGGCTTGCCTATCGTGATGACTCAACTGAGCCTAATTGGCTGTAACTTATGTTCCTGCAGGTCCTACCATGCCAGGCTGGTCGACTGGAGAACGATGAGACTAAAAGCAGCTACCCAAGGTCTGAGGGCGAAGTCGTACTGCTGACTGCAGAGGGGTGTGACAGCAGTAAGGTGTTTCCCTCGGGCCTCGAGCCACTCTTCGGTTACCCACGGTCTCCAGTCATCCTGAATGGCAAGTCGACGTAAGTCCCCCTAGTCTTAATGACGTTGAGAAAGCGTTAGGAAATCTGAAACGAGGACGAGCTGCAGGTCCTGATAGACTGACCCCTGAGATATTTAAGGATGGTGGTCCAGTTTTAGCAGCTAGGTTGACTGAGATCTTAGGTAGAATCTGGGAACTGGATGTAATCCCATCCGACTGGTTTCAATCACTGATTGTCACGATTTATAAGAAAGGACAAAAGTCTTCTTGTGACAATCACAGGGAAATAAGTCTAACTAATATAGTATCTAAAATATTGACCTCAATAATACTTTGACGCTTAACGAAAGCTCGTGAAGAGTAAACTCGAGAAAACCAGGCTGGTTTTCGACGTGGACGTGGTTGTGTAGACCACATCTTCACACTACGACAGGTCCTGGAACATAGACACACATTTAGGCGTCCTACAATAGTTGTTTTCCTGGACCTTAAGGCGGCATTCGACTCAGTGGATCGTGAGGTTCTGTGACAGCGTCTGTCATTGAAAGGTGTACCAAAGAAGTACATTAACCTCATACAAGCTTTCTACTCGATCACCACTGATCGAGTGAGAGCTTATGGCGAACTGTCACCGGAATTCTCTACTTCAAGTGGTGTCCGCCAAGGATGTCCACTTTCTCCATTCTTGTTTAACTTTATCATGGACATGCTCCTAGAAATAACCTTATCCTCGTCTGAATTTTCAGGAGTAGACCTTCTACCAGGTGGCTCGCTTATTGACTTAGAATATGCCGATGACATTGTCCTACTTGGTGAAGACGCTGACAAAATGCGGTCTTCTGACTACCCTAAACAACAATGCAAACATGTTCAGGATGCGGTTTTCCTCCTCGAAATGCAAAATGTTGCTTCAAGATTGGGTTGTCTCGGCACCTGAACTAGTGATAGGGAGTGAGGTAGTCGAGCGTGTGGACCGCTTCACTTATCTTGGAAGTCTCATCAGTGCCGATGGCCTGGTGACTGACGAAATCTCAGCTCGGATACAGAAGGCCCGATTGGTTTTTGCTAACCTGCGTCACTTATGGCATAGGCGAGATATCCGTTTGCCGACTAAAGGACGAGTGTACTGTGCAGCAGTTCGCTCCGTCTTACTTTATGGCTGTGAAACATAGCCAGTGAGAGTAGAAGATATTCGTAGGTTACTGTTTTTCGATCATAGGTGTCTTCGAAGCATTGCTCCTATATCCTGGGACACCCGAGTGATCAACGCTGTTAGGTAAAAATGGCAGATCAATAGACGCAGTAGTGACACTTCATCAGTCGAGGTGGTTGGGACATGTGTTGCGTATGCCTAACCACCGACTGCCTCGTTGAGCTTTGTTTTGTAGTGTAGGAATAGGCTGGAAGAAAGTTAGGGGCGGCCAAACCAAAACATTGCAGAAATCCATGAAGTCATTGACGAGTGGACTGAGCCATGTCGGTAATTGTCGACTACCTGGTTGGGGTCCGCGAGATGATAATAATCGATGGCTAGAGACCTTGAATGACATGGCTCAAAATCGTTTGCAATGGCGCCGGTGCATTTATTCTTTGTGTTCTCTCAAATCCTAATCTTCTGGATTCTTCAATACCTTTAGTTTTGACTTTCTAAACTTTTCTCACTGAATCGTACTTGAATAATATCTTCTAATCCTAACCTCTCCGATTACTTCTAATACCCTTACTACCTCTTCTACTATTGGATTTGAATTGACAATTATATCTCTGTGCTGATGTGGTATGGCAACATGAACTGATGTACTTACGTACGAAGTTCTACGTTGCATCTGACTGACTGACTGTATCTTTATCGGCCAAGTTGATCAGGACATGTATGATGTATGCCCATCCACTGCATATCTCGGCGCGCATTAATAGTTACTGTAGGAAAGGTTATTAGAACCAAGGTGGAGGATCGTATTGTGTTGTTGACTGTTGGTGCAAGTTAAATGTATAGATCCAGGCTACATGGTTGGGGTTTGTACGAAAACTGAGATCAGTGCTTAAACAGGTTAGATGATATGGCTATAAATCAGTCACAATGCCACGGATACATCCATCCTTTGTCTAGATCATTTCTAGCATGTCTTTTCGAATCATATTTTGAACGTGAGGTCTTTTTTGTTGTTTTTACCACTACATGTTTTCGATTTCTTTGTAATTTATCTTTACATACTGATGCGGTCCGGTGATTTGAGCTTACGCACTTTTGTCACAGGCTCTGCATTGATTTGGTGTTCTGAATAGTCGATCAAAACATCACAAGCAATTATTACGAAAAAAGTTTCTCTCTTGGTTTCTTGACTACTCTTCCCCCAAAATATATTATACTGATACTCAAACGTAAAGTTACGGTACTTCTTTCCTCACAGGGTGTCGGACTGTTTAGAACTAAATAATTGATCTTCTTAGAGACAAATGGGAAGCACTCGTATTAAATTGTCATTCTAATGCTTCGGTCGAAGCCGAAGTGTCCTGCCCACTTATGTATTCCATACTAGTTACGTTATTTGGGTAACAGGCAATTTAGCTTCAGCAAAAACTAACCTAAAGATAAATCATTTCAGAAATCCTTTTCCACCTGTTCCAGCTTCAAAGGTTTGATTAACAGATTCAAATCACTGTGTGCATGTATGATTGCTGTTATTGACATTGTTTTCTTACCATTTCAGCAGAACAAATTTAACTTAAGCAACGTCTTAGTAATCAAATGACTGATATTATAATACATTATTGGATTTAGTAGTTTCACAGTATCTGACGTAGAAATCAAGTAGGTCTTTATTTCACTTTCACGCAAGCACTTTATTCTTTTAACTACTTTTCTTCAATGTTTCCGTTGCTCAAACGATCATTTCATTTAGCCCCTGCCTGTCAGAGTCGAATATTTTACGCACAATGAAATGTTCCTACACAATAGCCGATAACGCTTTACGTAAACTGGAAGTACTACGTTACTTTAATAAAATCTAGTATTTACGGAAATGTGAACTTTTTAGCAAAGTTTATGATGATGTACAACATACTGGATGTTTTAAGGTTTGTATTTTGAGAGCGATTTTGTGGATTAATTATGAAGGCCTGTTATTTTACTAAGATTCATTCACTGTTAGCACTTTTTATTCTAATCAGAGCAAAGTAATCGTTTTGAATATGGACGGTCATTTCATTTTGTTCTCTGATTTTCAGGGATAATCTTACGGAAGAACAAAACCGTCTGTTGCATATGCTGCATGACTCAAATGGTTGCACATTAAAACCTTCCGATTGGCGCATTCATCTAACTACGGAAGATGAAATTGTAGTTGTATCAGTTGGACATTAACTCAATAAACATTGCTTCTCAATTCCGTAAAACGTCTTTCATTTAACCCTTGCTGTTTGCATACAAACTGTAAATACATTTTCCCTGAATTACGCATTTTCTTCAAATCGCACTCAAAACCCTGCAAATGGTCACAGGACTTTGTTTATCTTAAGATTTTTTCTTAAATGTTTTTGACCCGCTATGCGCATACATCACGTTTACCAAGCATACAATACATCCAAATAATCGTAAACTTAATTCTCAGCCTAACATATCGTAATATTGCTAATGATATATATATTAACTTGACTAACCTTGATCATTGGCATCTCGAAAATTTTGTACAATGGTAATGTTTACGTGTGAGTAAAAACTGTCTACTGTCCCAATCACACATGAAATAACCAAAGACTTTTTAGATCAAACTATATTATGAAATTTAAGAGAACTTACACACTAGTGCCTGTAAGTCCATTTGTATACTGTGATGGAGGGATCGCTCTGGTAGGTACCTGACCGTACAACGGCTGGTCGTATTGATTCATCCCAAGCTGCACAGTATTAATGCGCTTATCTAGTTGATATCGAAGGGGATTCATGAGTGGACTGTAAAATCTTGGATTTAGTGGTACTACATTGGGATAAATATACTGATTTTGCCTCATGTCACCCGAATAAACTGACTGACCCGCGCTTTCAACTACTGCAACATCTTGCGGACTTCCGAGGACACCACCACTACTGCCAATAACTCCGTCATCCGGGCTACCAACAATAGAAGCGTCTGAGTACTGTGAGTTCTGGTTCATTGTCTTCGGCATGATTTCGATTTCGTCATCAGAACCACTGTTTGTTGCAGCCGTTTGGGTTTGTTGGTCTCGAGGATACGTGATAGATGAGTGACTCGATATGGGTTGTTGGGCAACTAAATATGTTGGTTGTTTGAGATCGGTATTCATGTTTGGTTGCATAACTAGCGAGTAGGACGGTACATTTGCCCGAACAATTGAATAACGGTTGATATATTTCGTCTTAGAGCTCGGGATAATCGTTTGTGGATCTTGCCCTACCACCGCGTATGGTGTATGATCTGAGGCTGAATATGTTACGGGATACGGATTGTTCCCCCATGTAGTTGGAATGAATGCATGAGGACCGGATGCCACAGCTGTTTCACTAGTCTGTATGGCGGAAATTATCATAACAACAAGTAGGGTTTGTTTGAAATTAATCATGGCTGTTAAACTGACTGCTCTGCCTGTAGTAATCAGATTTTAAATGATGAGAACGATATCTAATCATGTTTTCAATGAATTTGAGTTGAGTTCAGTTTTAATACAACCAATCAAATGAAGCAAGAATGAGTGAACGTAACTCATTCAAATCATCAGTTTTTGATCTTAGTTGTAATCGAATTGAAAAATTACAAAATCCTAAGTTAAACTGTCTTCGTGTAGAAGATTGGACTCTATAAATCTAATTAATATACAGAAGCACGACGATAACTTATCATTTATTGATTACTAGTCAAGAATATTCATTTTACGTATACTGTCTAATGTATATTGTCTAATGAGAGTGAAACTGTTATAGAAAAAAAAACAACAAACTAAGTTTGTTATTTTATTTCTAAGTTTTAATGATATAAATGGGATATACGAAATGAAAAATTATGTGTGAAATAACCCAATAAATTCAGGAATGAGTGTGACAGGAAACGTTTGAAGAGAGCAATCGATTTCGGAATAATGCATTCGACGCTTTTACAAGGTTATAAAATAATTAGGATTCAGCTAACGAAGGACTAGGTAGAATATGAGACAAAATTGTTACATGGTTCGACAGAACAACAAAAATAGCAATCACAATTACTAAAGTAAATTAGTCAAGAGGAGGAATTGTATTCCTTTGAACAAAAGTGGATATTTATGATATATATTATCTGATGAGTATAATGAGGTTGGGTGAACAACAACATGAATTGTGTAAGACATCATAGACAAGAACTCCGTATGATGCTAGAAAATAATAATAACTCAGATGATAAAGAAACAAAAACATAAAATGAAGAGTTATAAATCAGCCAGTAACAAGAAGTTAAAAGTTAATACAAAAACAACGGTTATGGTGACGATTAGTCATAATCATGAAGAAACATAAGTCCCTAGGGCGCATATATTAATACATTGGATATATATTTACGAGGAAAATCGAAGAATGAAAATATAGACAATGCCCATTCACCCTTAATATGGGAAAATAGACATTCGTTATTATTTATCTTTAACACAATGTAGGTTAGATGAGATGGAACACACGGAATCTGGGTATAACAGGCCACAAGATACCAAGTCAACAAGGTTACCTGAGAGCAATCAAGTAGGAAAATATGCAGTAATGATCTTTCTAGAATGGCAAACCCCAGCGTTTGTCCTTTTTCTCATATTTAGCAGCAAGAATAGCAGCCGATCGACCAAAACCTCTAGCTTGATCAGCCATCTCTTGAGTTTGTAGATCTAATTGCTGCAATCGCTCACCACGTTCGATGGCAGCATTCCTAGCTCGTGCAATTTCAGAAGAGGCAGTACCAGCCTGACCAGATAATTTTTCCATACGAGCATTTGACAGTAGAGTAGTAGCGCCAGGTGTCCCCTTTCCCGAACTTGCCTCACCAACTAAACCAAGAATAAATTAGAAGATGAAAATTTCCAGAACAACCTAGCCAAATCCACCAAACTTGAGTTGTGACCATAGTGTTGAGCATCGTAATTTCGCACTATAACAATTGTCATCGAAAATGCGAACTTTGGTTCGAAAACAAAGTTTACGCAAAATACAGCTTAACTAACTGCGACTGTGTAAAGGATTTATAAGACTTACATTTACCATACTCCAACATATTGAAAACCATAAAACACAACGCCGTTATGAACACCTAGCAAGAATGATTACGAGAACAGAATACGGGATGATTAATCCCTGATGTTCGATACATTCACTTCATAGTTTACATGACGACTTGTAGTACACAAATTACATTCAAAAACTCAACAAGTTAGCAGCAGATCGATTTTTATATATAGAGACACTATGTCAAACTTATCAACAAATACGCTTGAATTCAGTCCTGAGTAATTTTATCAAAACAGTACAGCAAATATTAGGCATTTTATATTTGATTAAAGTCCATTCCGAATCCTATCAAACTGTATTCAAATAATTCACTTGCATTGGTAGTTTGAATCTTCTCATCGATAGTTAGGACTGAAACTGATCAGTCTCGTTTGACATGAATGCATGTTGTGTATATTGCCTCGATATAGCCATTAGGCCACAATCATTATAAGAGTAGATGGATAGTGGCTAGCAGTGGAAGCTAGGACGCATATTTCGTCCTAAGTGGATAACACGATGGTGTTTGAAATGAATGATACAGAGTTCGAGTCTCTGAGTGGACATGAACTCTGTGATGCAGATACGTCCAGTTGACGAGTCTGAAATAGGATGAAGCGCGTGACCTTGATTTCATTGCTAACCACCACCCATGTATGCTTATAAAGTATTCAAATAGTTATTTCCAGCTTGTAGACATACTGTCAATTAATTGAAACAATCTTAAGTCCAAGTATAACTACTACGCCCGACCTGATTTACTTCAGAATAAGTGGATAAACCAATTTATCATTTCAAATATTCAGGAATTTCATTTCGCACTTTCTGAAGCTATCAAAATCTGTTACGAAATGAACAACACGAGCAAAAGCATTTGATTCCTAACAAAAATAAATTGTTCGTCTAAATAGTGCACATAACAGTCATCCGATGACTTTTTTTACCAGGCATATCCACGACTATTTCTAGTTGAACAACATGCGATAAGTGTCGTTTTACGTGTATAAATAATAACTTTACTGAAAAAAGAGACGTTATGATATAAACTGGTCTCAGTTAGCTTATTAGTTCTTAACAATCTGATACTTTCAGCATGATCGAAATGGTTAACTTTTAGCTATAAAACCAAACGAGAAGCAACAAGCAAATACCTTATGATTACTGTATAAATGCTGACTAAAGTGTCATGGAAATACGGAACTCAAGGCTAAAATTTCAAAGACAAAATTAAAAAAACTTTGAATTCTGGACAACAGTCAAAGTACTTGTTTGAAGCGAAAACTTGAGAAACGAGTGTTACGATCAAATCGATCTTTGAATCCCGACCGAATGAATTGCAGAAAACAGAACTGCTACAGCAGAACACGGGGTGAAACCTATGATTTCAACCCAGATAGTTTGAGTTGTTCAAAAATAAATGGCTACTGAAGAATGAAAAATGTGGCAAAGCAAGGAATAAATTGTCGACTTTTGTCTGTTACATTGTAGCTGGAATACACAGGTTATTCATTTTCTGACTTAAAAACTTTTTTTCAGCTTGTATAAACATAAATGCAGCTATTGTATAAAATACAAACAATGTTTCGATTAATCATCTTAGCACAGATAAGCAAACTTGTAAAAATTAGTCTTTTAAAAGTTAATCAGAACGTGTTTACTAATATATATTGTAAAAGGATACTTTAAATCTGCAATCTTTAGCCTAATTCACCCTACATACCACTGATCAAAGCAATCATCCTTCATTTACAACATGAGAAAATCTAATACAATTTAAAGCAACTGTAATCATTTATCTGGACTAATTTCTGATGTTGCTAACTTCACTTCATGTCCAATGTAACCTGAAATTTCCGCCCAGTTTCACTCAATGAATGTAGCTCACAGCTTATTACATCAGTTCGTAAATACAATTATTGTAAATCTCAGTAACAAAAGGCATTAAAAGTGTCGGTAAAGAGCTATTCATGCCAGAAGATGTGTTATGAATACATGTCTTTTATCAAAACCCTTTATAAACAAAAGAAAGTTGGCTGATTACGAATAACGATCTGGATTAATAGTAGGCGAAATAATTACTCATGGCTTACAAATGTAATAGTATGGACTCGGTACAAAAATTTTTAAAAAAAAAACTAGACAAAAACTGACGGAGTAATAGTGTGATCAAACCTACATAATTCATCTCGATCCAAAGAAGACATCAAAGTTCCACTTAATAAATTTCTAAAAAAATTTTTCTTGGGAGGTTCTGGCATGTTACTTGGTAGAAATATCTCACCTTGCATATCACGTAGGTTAGCACTGTAAATAGAAAAGAGTAGGGTATGTAAAACACCACGGTATCCGTTGGCTAATGAAATAAAATAAAACACATGATGAAAGCTATTTACTGTAAGCTATTCAGAAGCAATATTTAACGTTTATCTTTCTGGAGCAATGTCTTGAAATGGAAAGAACAGGTTCATTCAATGTTTCGTTTTGCATTACCTAGATCCATAAGATAAAGGCTTTAATGTTATCATGATTATGAATGATATTTAATATTGTGAGCCAATCAAAAGTGATCTAATGAAACGGCCGTTGGATGTATATATCACTGGTTGGGAAATGGATTGGTCTTCGAAGGAAGTAAATACAAATATGTGGACGAGTATTTGCTCATATTATTCGGTGATCAAATAGAAGTTTTCTTCTGATTTTTGTCTTCATGCGCAAATAGCCAGTTTTTGGGGAAGGGGTAAAACTTAGCGATTTCAAATCTCGGCACCGTGCATCCAAACAAAGTTGCATGCTAAACGGAACACAGGACTACTTGATCAAAACTAAAAAAATTTCCCCATGGCGCAGTGTGAAAAACATAACCGTTATATTATATGTTGCTTGATAGTTGCTACATAATTGATAAGTACAAAGAATCCTACTTCAAATTGCTTGTTTTTCTGAGAGCGATTTAATAAAAACAAAATACTTTCCGTCAAAAAAACATATTTTTGTCATAATGATAATTATTAAAGCCAATAGATGTAACTTTCAGTTTTCGAAAAATGTATGGGCATAAGGAGTGTACAGCCAATTAAAGTTAAACTGTATGACAAAGGTCGCTAACCATTGGTGACTATCGTCTCGCAGACCCCAACCAGGTAGTCTACATCTACCAACATGACTCAGTGCACTAGACAGTGACTTCATGGATTTCTGCCATGTTTTGGTCTAGCCGCCCCTAGCTTTCTTCCAACCTACTCCTACACCACAAAACATAGCTTATAAGTGGATATGGAGGTTTCGACCAAATGAGCCGAAAAACATGAATTAAGACCAACAGCGAACCTTAAATCTACCATTCTGAACGAAGTGACGGATGAAGTGTGCATCTCAAAGCGTAAGTAGTTTTTAAAGGTTATAAAATTGAAGTCGAAAGATTAGCCGATGGACCTCAACAAAAGACATCCCAACAGAAATTAGACTTAACACATCATGATATCAAAAATGAATATTTAGAACTGTTAGCTGTACAAACATACTGGGTTACAAAATATTATTACCTTATTATAAATAACCATGAGCTGTTGAGCTTTTAGATTCTAGGCAGCTCCCACTTTATACATATATATATATATATATATATATATATATATTGCTGTGAAAATAAGCTCAAATGAAAATACTTCCTAAAAACATAAATTCACATGCCGTAAAACATGACAAAAATGCCTATAGAAATGAGAAGCATTATTAAGTACAAAAAACCAGAGCTCACCAAACATCTGATGCCCAGGTGATTTTAGCTAATTCTGAAGGTGATACCAAATACACAGCTTGACCATACTGACCAAAGGCAAATGAACGACTTACACATTCCGTATACGGTAAATAATCCACATCCATTAATAAACGTAAACTTGGCAATGAGAAAGCAACAAAATGTCCATTTGCAAGGTAACACGCCAGAAAGCTAGCAGCTGATGTTCCGCTATTATGCGACTGTCGCAAACGTTGCACAGAAGCACGCACCACTTGACTGGTTTCAGTTATTTTGACCTGTATAAAAGGTTAAAATATTATCCAATTGAAATATGTTAAGCAACAAGTTATTAGATAGAACTTAAAGTAAAAAGCAAATAGGAAGGAATTTCGTCTGAAACAAGCAGTTTTACCTTATAGAGACAGGTTTGTGAAGGTAGTGCAACTACCCGGGCTTGTTTTTCTGAACAAAGGATAAGCAACTGTCGGTCACACTCGACAGAACCTTTGGATGTTGTAGGAGAATCGAGTCCCGTTGTACTATTCGACTGTAATGTACTACCACCACCGCTCACAGTATTAGAATGTATAGTACCTGGGGAAAGTGTAAAACAAACCGAAAATGATGATTCAAACAAGTTCAGTATTAAGTGAAAACACAGAAAACATGATTCATACAGACGCACGAAATAAATAAATTTCAATACTCTTTTAGTATCATAAGTGAACCTCGGTAATGATTAACAGTCTGCAAAAAAACTGATCAAATATAGATTTTTGCTGAAGAAATTCATGTTTAGTCTGATTTCAGTCAGTTACAACCTATGAACTAATACGGATGAACATCGGTCGAACTTAACACACTCCATTAGTGCAGAAAGATGACATTTTTAGGCCAAATCCCAAAGTAGTAGTGACAATACTAGTAGTAATGGAAAAGATAAGGGAATGAAAGTGAGATTAAGAAAACGGAAATCAATGAAAAAGGACAAACATTTAATGAGTTCAGAAACTCAAAGAATGGATGCACCTGAGCCATTCCAAACGATTTTGAGACATGTCATTCAAAGTCTCGAAACCGATGGATAGGAATAACACGCCGATCATAATTAAATATGCATTACGGGGTTGTGAATATTGTTGTTTTTTTGGAACATGAATCGATCAATGTTAGACCACCATTAGAAACCTGGAAGCACTGGACGGCCGTTTCGTCCTGGTATGGGACTCCTCAGTGGTGCGCATCCACGACTCCTGCACCCCGCAGGATTCGAACCCAGGACCTTCGGTATTGTAGGCGAACGCCTAACCATCGGAACGTATGACTAAATGAGTATAGTAAGACGATTTTGAAAAATATACTTAACAACCTTACCAGTTATTTAACCTATGTGAAATTGTAATTTTAAAGATTCATGTTAAAAAAAGCAAGCAATTAAAATCCTAATTCTGACACTAACCATACCGTCTCATTTTTCAATCCAGTGAAAGTGATTGTCAAGTGACCTAGTAGCTTATCTAGGAAAAAATACACATTTATTCAACCGGTCATTTAAAATAGGAGTCAAGTATTGGCGTTATTATTGAAATACTATCTTAAGGTTGAAAGTGATATGGGAAATACATTCATAAATATGAAACTTGCAACAATTAATGTTAAGAAATATGGAGTACAATATCAATATACTCACTAGAATGACCCGACGTTGATGTTGAAGAGTTATGTGTGGTAACTGTGTTTTGTCGGAAAACTGATTCCTTCAGTGCTCGAATACTGTTACTGCCACCACCACCAGAAGACTTGAAACCAGTATCAGCTGAACTATATGCATCAGCATTGGTATGCACAGAAGTTCCTGCAGAACATACAGATGAACAGGATAAAAGAGATGCTTGTTTCGAAAGTTCAGAGGAAGTGCCACCTTTGACAACTGAAAAATCATCCCAGCGCTCTGAAGGACTCGGTAGAATATCACCGGTATTATCTAACAAGCTAATATGAATAATATCTCCACGTAAACGATACGAAGATGCTACAATGAAGAACATAATTAAAAAATTGGAATTTTCTAGTATATGAAAGGACTCATTAAAATATAAGCCAGTAATATCATTAGATTATTCACAATAATTTTAACCGTCATCTACTTGCTAAAAAGAATTATATGTACATGCACATAACTGGAGAAAGGTATACAAAACTGAAAGGACGGAAGAAGTGTATATTAATGGAGCATTCGAGGAATCATTTCCATGAAGATGGACTAGTGAGTAAGAAGTAACCAAGTCAGATGGTCAGGTTTTTAACTGATAAAACAGTAGCACATTCTCAACGTAGGATCACAGGAGAAATAGCAATAATGCATGAAATAAATAATAGTGTAATAATGTAATTCTTTTTATTGACTCATGTGAAGAGGGATGTCTTAAAAAGCATATCATCAAACAAAACTCAAACATTTTAACCTTGTTAACAACATTCAACCATATCACTTGTCTCTTAGATGACGCAGGTGCATCCACTCTTTGTGTTCTCTCAAACACTAATATAAACTCCCCATGACATTTATCTTACTCGTTTCGAATCTATTTCACTAGATTATACTTCTTGAATAACATCTTCGAACGTTAATCTTCTTCATTGTCGCTAATGCTTCTATTATCCCTACAATTACGGTATTCGAATCGACAATTGCATCTCTGTGCTACCGTGGTATGGCAACTTGGACTGATGTACGTGCGTACAAAGTTCAAAATAATACATCAGTGTGACGTATTGCAAGTCATTACAGACGATTATTCCTGAAAAATGTTCAGGTCCAGTGACAAATACTGTTTTTTAATCGGATATAGACCACATATTTTCTGCCGAAAATCGCGGTGTCACGTTCAAAATATTCTTGATTATCACATGAATCAGTCGGTACCAAAAATTTACTAAGAAAAGAACAAGGTATCCAGATAAAAATGCTAATATTAGATATTTATTTTTAAGAATAAATATAACAATGTTGCTAGATCAGATTATAATTTAGTTGGTCTGCCTGATGCTTAAATAAAATACCATCACAAGTCCACGGATTAATTTCAATTCAACTGTTGGATGAATGGACAGTCAGTACATAGATTAAACACGTGAATCAATAAAATAATCAAAAAAGTATCTAACATCCTCTGTTAGTTTCATAAAGACATAAAGTAGAGAGATATTCTAATTTTAGTGATTAAACTGATATAGTACAACCAAGAGTAGTAAATATATTCTTGGGTATTTTTATCATAAAACTATTTCGTTATAAGAAAAAAACATTTGTGTGTTAATAAAAAGAATGAGATAGATAGCTTAAAAATGAACTCTATAATCCAATTTAGAAAGCTTTTAAGCTCAATAATTTATACATGCATATATATGTATACGTTATCACCGCTTTCTTATGTGCAAACTGAAGGCGAAAATCAATATCAATACTGTGAATAAATGTAAGACAGATTACACTAATTACATCAAAACTGACTGTTACCTAAAGAGTAATCAACTAGCTTATACTGGAGTAGGAGATACGAACAAACATACATGTACACACATATAAAAGCGCATGCTATTAAAGCTGGCAGATATACATTTGAAAAAAATCAATGAAACAGATCAGAAATAAAATCGTGAATTTCGTGAAATAAACGTCCAGTACTCCATTTCGTTTTTCATCTGACTGTCTCACTATACTGAATATTCACTCACTCACTCCCTACAATTTTCCTCTTGGATATGGTGTAAACTTCTACATGCTAATGGACAGAGTTAGCATTAAACTGCTTATTTGGATGGAAAGTATATCTACTATATATGCTTGAGTGAACAGATAAGATAGAGCAAGAAGATAGCACTATGATTAGCAGCTTTACATAACCCTTCATATTCTCAATAGATCACGGGTTCTATTCAGTATTCTTGAAATAAAAACATCAAATGTCCTATTAACTTCTTTAAAACTGAGCACAAAAATTCGCATTGATCACATATTTCTCCTGAACAGAACGAAGTAATAATTAAAATGAGTGAATAAGGGTAGTCGTGATCGTTTAGAGCTAGAGCACAACTAAAAGTTCACAATTCCAAATCATTTTTTCAGCATATTATTTTATATGAAAAAGAATAACGCTTGTGGACAACAAAAAGTATAATCATACCACCATGAAAATTTTTTATCAATACACTGATCGATAACATTTAGGCATGATTTGTTTCTGAAATAAAACATACTAGCCACGTCTTCTTCCTCACAAGACAATAATACTATAACACACTCATTTTCATTGACGGATGACAAGTTCAAATAATTTGAATTTACTACAACATCAATAGAAAGCTGCTAGCTTTAGGACAAATTCTAGAACTCAACTAATCTAATAATGTGCAGATTTCTATTTCTCATCATTCATCTCGAATTAAGTGAAAAGAAACGATATACCGCTAAATTAAACGACCTTACTAGATATTTATATGGTTAATTAATACCCAATGGTTGGTTGTTTATCATTTGATGCTCACTAGAAATCATGAAGTTAGTAAAGTGTTCAAAAAGCTAAGTTAACATTAAACATTATGTTTGGAATTGATTACCAGATAATTGATCTATGTTTCCCATTTTTCGGTATTCATTAGAAAAGCGTACCAACAGAATACAAAAGATATGTTGTTTTTTCACACATTTAGGGAAGTATCAATTTTAGAGCTGAGGTCAAAGTTGTTATCCAGGCTGAGATGTGTGATTTGGAAAATATTGAGGTTATAAATAATTAGCACTTAAGAAACATGTATAAATTTGTATAATGAGAAATCGAAACATAAATTGGTGTTATTTATCAACATCACAAAAGAAAATAAATATCGGTGTGTAAAATGTACTTTCATCAGAAAAAGAAACAAGAATTACCAATACAGTATGAATAATTGACTGAAACATTATTCGATACTCTATACTTGAGATTCAAAGCAAAGACACATCCACGAGCTGTTCCGATCCAAAGGTTTGGCACAAAATTCAAGTCTATATATAGAATAAAGAAGAATATACGGGAAAAAGTAAATAAGAGAAAAGTGTTGTTTTTCTACTTACATAAACAATGCGAATGAAACATACCTTGTTTAGGAGATATCCATTCAGTGAATATAATTGTTTTGATCACTTCACAGTTTGGATTGTCTAATGAGCTAGAACTTGCACTTAAACTTGCCGGATGAGAAAACTGTGGAACGTCGCAACACTTTTCTATGATAATAACATTATGAAAACAAACGAGAAGGAAATCGAGAAAAAAGAAGTGAGATTTTCAATCGGTCCGGGTATTGATATATATCATGCATATTTTTAACACAAAAAATTATAACAGCATTAAAGAGTATCACAAAATATGAAGCATATTCTTAAAAACACACCAGTTGGTGGAGAAAACACAATGATACGAGTTTATATATATATATATAAACAGTGCACATACTAATGAAACCAAAAATTGTTTCATAATTAAAGTTAGTCAAGGGTATAAGCATGTACATGGAACACGGATAAATGCTGCTTTATACAACATACCTCTCTGTTTATGAAGGTGAGAGGAGAAATCTACATTTACTTAAATAATTGACATTCAAGCTACTAACACCAAACAAGTAACAAAGCTTTTGCATGATATTGCCTGGTTAAAAATAAAATGGCGAAATTTTTATACATTGAGTAGAAATTGTAGATGAACAAGAAGTAAACAACAAAATAGGAATAACCGCTGAAAAGGGCAAACACATATTCAAATGCTTCATAGAGTTAAAGCTAAATGTAATGAAACAATTGAAAAATAGTTGTCTAATAGGTGGCGATTAATTACTTATCGGAACCCTCCCAGAGTGATTGCTGGTCCCAGGTCTGGATAAGCGAGAATGGTTAGGTAACCTAGTGTGAACCACAACCGACTTTTCTGTTCTTTTAGCTAGCTTGTCAACTGGGCTATAATGCTTATATCTCACAAGAAACAGGAAATATAATGAATGTAGTTGAATGAGTCCTCCTAAGGTTAAAACCGGTCAAGAGCCCAGATAAAAGAGTGGTGGACATGGGGTTAGCAACCCTATCCCGTGGCAAACTAAGTTGCTACAAAAATGCTAACCATAAAATTTCATTCAAACCATATTATGTCCTAGCAAGTAGGTGATCCTTTAGAAGAGTTATCACACCTCCTGGCGAAAGTCGAGTACCTTTGGGAGACACACGGCTCATGTACCATCTCAAAACAATAGTAACAATTAATACAGGTACATGGAATGGAGAACGATTGGAAAGGGATTAAAGCAGCAATAAATACAACATGCCATGAGATTTTGGGCCACAAAAAGTACCATTACAAGGAATGGATCCCTGTTTATACCCTTGAAGGAGGAACAAAAAAGCGGCAATCAACATCAGCCGAACAAAGCACAGAAAGCCAAGGCACAAGCTGAATACAAACAAGCAAGTGAACAGGAACATCAGAGCTAACAAACGTAAATATGTGTTCGATCTAGCAATGACAGCGGAAACGACTGAAAGGGAAGGAAACATGCAACAGCTATATGATACAACGAAGAATCTTGATGGAAGATCGCGTAAATCAGTGAAAAACAAGGGAGGCAAAGGGATCAGCAACACTGAAGAGCAGCGAAACAAGTGGATACAGCACTTTGAGAAACCATTGAGTAGACCAGCCCAACCAAATCCATTCAACATCGAAGCAGTGCCCACAGAACTCCCATTTAATGTTGACCTACCAACAACTGAAGAGTTCAGCATGACCATCATACAAATCAAGAGTAATAAAGCAGCAGGATCAGACAATTCAGCTGAAGCACTGAAAGCAAGCATAACAGTAACTGCACGATTCAGAAGGAATAACAAATATCAACAGACTGGAAAGGATACCTCATGAAGATAATAAAAAAAATAACTGTGAGAACTACGGAAGCATCACAACACTATCAGTAGGATGAAACGTTTTCAAGTGTTATCAAATGGATTACAATATTCATTGGACACCCAACTTCGAGAACAAAAAGCTGGATTACGTAATGACTCGTCAGGAGAAACAACCAAATCAGAATTATAGAGAAGCTTTGGAAGATGTAAAAAACCTTGACATACAGCAGCAGTATCTTTGATAAACAGTGGGGATATGATTTTAAACGTGACGGCATGGACTAAAAAAGGGAGGGCAGCATTCCTACGATTGGAGAACAGTAAGAACTCATGACAACTATCAGCTGACGCCAAAGTAGGAAGTTTCATTTCATAGTCAAAACAGTTCCGTTGTATGGAGAGGAACCTTAGAGAACCACGAAAGCTAGCATCCATAAAATACAGGTGCTTATTAACAGTTTTCTACACAAGAAACTCCTCATCTGTTGGCCAGATGCCATCAACAACCTACTGTGGCAGCAAACAAACCAGATTTCAGCTGAGGAAGAGATTAAGTAGAAGCGCTGGAGCTGGATAGGACGCATATTACAGAAGGCTCCAGACTTCATCATGAGACAAGCCGTAACTTGGAATCCTCAGGGCCGAATGAAAAAAGTCAGTTCAAGGGACACATTGGGTCGAGACTCGGAGGCAGAGACGCAAAGAATGAATAGCAACTGGGTAGAACTATCAAAGGAGGCCCAGAATCGATTTGGTTGGAGAATCCTGGTCGGTAGTCTATGTTCTACGATTTGAAACAGGTGTAGATAAGTAATGGGAACAATATTAATACGGAAATCAATGATAAAGTTAATGAGTCCCATTATTCCGTGAAGTAATTAGTTTTTATAAAAACTTCACAGTTAAAAAAAATCCAAAAACTTTTAGTCTTCTAACAATATGTCTATCTACTCAATATGTTAATAGTGTAATATGAGTTTCTTAAAAAAAGAACTTTTGATAGAACAGTGAGAAGACGTAATTGATCTGAAAAATGTGATGTATTTGCGCTATGCATTTCGAACAATCTGGTCACACATACACTTGTCAAGGCATTTTATATGCAAATTAATAAAAGGTCAATAGACATAAGGTGATAATCATAAATGAAGGAGAGAGAGAGAGAGAAATTAAAGTAATATAGGAAGAATAAGAAAGGGTAGGAAACTGTCATATTACACTAAGGCCAAATGCATCACCTCTTTCAGATGAATTACGTCTTCTCACTGTTCTATCAAAATTTATAAAGTGGACTAATTGTTTTAAAAAAGAACACCGAAACATATAAGAAATCATTAAGACAACAGAGTAAATGAACATGAATATTCGATCAAGATGACTTTAAGAACGAATGCTTGAATCTCATTCTCCATAAATCGGAATAATATCATCGTATTTTAAGATAAATAAATTGTTACCCATTCATGAATAAATCAGCACAATTATATGGTAACTTAAATAAAGCTGATCATGCATTTCAAAATACCGGAAGAAATAATGTAGAAAATTTCTAAATATTTGTTCATTCAACCTTAATAGATCTAAAATTTGAGCACGTGTAAACGGTAAATAAGTAGGTGATATAAGAAATGACATTCATGTTAAAAAAGATGCCTCTGAATTAGTAGATCAATTCACTGAGCATTTTACGAAAAAGAAGTTTCCCTAAACAACCTCAATATAAGAGGTACGAATCGAGTATATACATACACATCACGAGAATAATTATAATATAACAACAACACACTAGCAGACACACGTAAACCCGCACAGAGAATACAGTAAAATCAAACAACCTGAAGAAGCGTTTTGTGCATTAGAGGCTTGTCCTTGTTGACGAGGTGGTTGATTTGTTCGATAGGCCAGAACCACTATTATAAATGGATGTATATACAATAAATAATTCAGTTAGATTGCTCATAGTTATGCTACAAAGAAAAGGTTCCTCTGTTAGAAATAGTTTTTGCACGGCAAACTATAAACGCTATAACTCTAAAATAAATTTTTCATGAATTTCGTTTCTACTTAAGGTTAAGACATTGAATGATGCTTGGACATAATACTTACTCCAATGAACATTCATTAAACAATGAGTCCACGTGAAGATTTATTCAAGGGATTGGTAAAATTATAAACTAGAAGGGAAATGAACAGATAGCTTTGTCAAAGCTTAATCATATTTAGGTTTATAGATAAGTGTTTGTTACTTGAAACAAATTGCCAATTGAACCGAGCATGATACAATGAAGTGATCACGATACTACACACACGTTAGTAATGCAGAAACTAGTCAACGAAAGATAAACAACAATAGCTGAGAAAGAAGCAAACTAAATAAACGATCTAGTTTAGTTGGTGAATTTCACTAAAAAAAAAATTGTACTTATATTTTATACAGGTAGGTAGTGTGTACTAGATAACATAGTGCAGTGGAGTAAGTTATGTATAACATAGTTTATGAAATATATTGTTTGCACGCTAAATATGTAATCTGCATTATTTATCACGATCTCATATCCTGTTGACAACGTTATCAACAATTTAGCAATAAAGAAACGTGTTCTCGTCACTGATGACGATGATTTAAATTAATAATTATTATTATTATTTAACTTCAAAAACATTTCAAAAAGATATATCTTGTTGTCATTTTGATCGAATAAGTGATCGGAGTTAAATGAGAGTGATCTAAGAAAGTATAGAGGCGATAAAAAGTTTATAGAAGCAGGGAAGAAGAAAATTCAGATTATAAGAAATATCAATTATTATAATACATATTTATGAATCAACCAACCGACCTTGAGACTTGGCACGCTTCAATTCACTCTTGACGGCTGTAGCTCTTGTTAATACATGGCGTGTTGTATAGCTGACACTGGATGACTCACTGGATTGAACAGCATCTGAGTTCGAATGAACGTTTTTCATAGCTGACTGATTGTTTACAATGTTTGTACTAGCTAACGAAGTTGAGCCACCTGAACTATTATTCTGATTCATGATATATTATTGTTTATGGGAGAAAAGAATGATATAAGTGAACCATTAACAACAATTGCTGACAGGGTGAACAGAATAAGTAGTACTAAATAATGGTAATACCAATAAAGTACCAATTAGAATACTTAAACACAAACGAAGAGAAATAGGAGTTAAACGGAAACAACTGTATTTTTTTAATGCGAAATAGTTCAAATAAGTTCAAGCAATATATTTAGATATATAAGCTGCAACTGGAGGACTAGTAGTTTCTGGTTGGCTAAAAAAGCAGCTGAAATTTTTAACCTCAGGTAGTATATTATTATTAAGCGTATGTCAGTGTTAAAATATGGCTTCCTAGATTTATACAGTCCATTCAGATCATTATTGTCATCATTAATTAGAACTTTTAATGGTATGACATCATCTACGTGACTTTTGGCACGAGAATGTTCCACGCCCAAATCACTGATCATCATCACAAGTATAAATTAAATGAAACAACAAATTGTGAGAACCTTTTACTATGAAATTCTATTTAAAATAAGTGGTTGTACGTTGTGATACATTAGACGATTTCAAATGGTCAATGACGAGCTAATAATCTCTATCACAGTGTTGGCTAATACTAAACGCTATAGAAAAAAAGCCTGTTAAAAAGGAAGACAAGAAAATTACAACAGGATATAATATATACAAGAACTGCTTTACAATGATCGCTTTGATTGTTCATGATGTCATTTTACGTAATCATGTCAAAAAATAGATGAGTAAAAAATTATTTAGTAATAGGAACTCAACTAACAATTACACAATTACCTGATCATTAAATTTCACTTCACCTGTAGCAGATGACCCAGTTGGATTGATAGGACCACGACCTGTAAAATAAGTTAATATGTAAGAATGAATACTTGTAGTAGTATCGGTAGAATCGATATGCATTATTCATACTGATAATTTGACAGCAATGACTAGACTTTAAAAACTGTTATAATAATGAGCAAAGATATCTAGCTACGATCACTGTTGGTTAATATAAGTACCTTATCGAGTGTCAATTAACTAAAACAATGATAATATAATGGGATAATGAAACACAAGGTTTAAATATATGCAGTAGCTAGTGAGTTCCAAAAACCTGTCATTAGGTAGACGGACAGTTAGATTGATAGTTCATAAAATTAAAACAAACGTTCAAAAAGTACAATTATAATAGTACACTCATGGAGATTATCTGACGAATAAAAAAATTTGTAGACATATCTGGCCAACATGAATAATTAAATGAGCAAATAAGTTCCCTAGAATATTATCAAGTCAACAAAACCAGTCAAAAAATTCTTCTTCAAGGGAGATAATCTATTATCGTATTTGAAGGTTAACATCATTTATCTATAGAAAGTTAGCAAACTAATAATTATGTGAATGATTGATAATAATAGGATGAGAAAAACGGCTAATATCCTCTTGCACATTGAAACCGTCAATCAATCATTGATAGACCACCATTAGAAACCTGGAAGCACTGGACGGCCGTTTCATCCTAATATGGCACTCATCAAATGGATGAGGTCACGCAAAATCTCTGGATTGATCAGAATTAGACAATAACACCGTTGGATGCCGCCAAGTGGTCCAGAGGTTATGCGTTCGCGCGCAATACCGAAAGTCCTGGATTCGAATCCTGCAAGGTGCAGGAGTCGTGGGTGCGCACTGCCGATGAGTCCCATGCCAGGACGAAACGACCGTCCGGTGCTCCCAGGTTTCTGATGGTGGTCTAACAATGATTGACTGATGATTTCAATGTGTACAAACACTAATCTCCATAACTCTGAATGAATAATATCTACTTGTTGAATGAAATCATGTTCAAACTAATGAAGTGAATTTATAAAGAATGAAGAGGTTGAATCTATTGCAGCATCACTGCGAAAAGCAGTTTAACATTTTTAAAAAATGAAATAAGTAAGCGTAAAACCATAATTTTTCGCTATCGAGAAAAATACATGATACAACAAAAATATTAAATCATCGTCGTCTCCCACACAGACTATTTAAAATTCATTGATAATGCTTAGTTTCTAGGCCACGGACATAGTTGTGAACGTCAATGGTAACTAACTTACTGAACTAAATGGTGAGAAAATGTCAATTATCTACTGAATTAATGCCATTAAGATGAAAGAAATAAAATTCAAGTATCCTCGTTGGATCGACAAGCTTTCGGCCAAAAACGTTCTGTTAAATATATATATATATATATATATATATATATATATATATATATACTACATGTTCAAGTTTAAAACAACTACAACTACAACAACAAATTTTGATAAAACAGTGAGAAGACGTAATTGATCTGAAAAATGTGATGTATTTGCACTATACATTTCACAAAAAGTCTGATCACACATACACTTGTCAAGGCATTTTATGTGCAGACTAATAAAAGGTCAATTAAATAGAAGTTCAAATAGACATAAGGTGATAAAAACCTAAATGAAGGAGAGAGAGAAATTAACGTAATATAAGAAGAATAAATATAGAAATTGCCACATTATCCGAGTCAATAAAATGGCTTAAAGATTACCAGGGTAATTTCAAGGTTATAATAAACTGTTTCTGTACACATAAGGGGGGTTTTATTTGACGGATAGCCAAGGCTTTCATAAACCTCAAATTCATCTTTCAACGTTTCTATGCAATGTTTTGAAGGCTATCTTTATGTCAATCTTATGCCCTGTCTCAATTATGTTTTGCGACCGACAAACATGCTTTTTGTTTCTCATGTCTATCGGGTCATCTGTATTACCTCATTTTGAAGCCACTTAGGTACATGTTCCATAAGCCTTATGTACGTGTGTCCACACAAACATGTAAATTAATAATGCAATGGGATGTGATGTAATCATTCGAGCAAGTTTAGGTCTATGTGAAATCATGGGCTTAGTATTTTCAGGTTTCTAACGGTGGTCTAACATTGATCGACTCATGGTTTCAAAATCTGTAACTTAACAATCTTCACAACCCCGTAATGCTTTTCAATTATAATCGGTTTAGCAGTGTAGTGTGTTTTCTCTATGGTTGCTTTTTGTCGCTGTTTTAGGATTAAACCATTTGATTCGCCTCTAAATGATACACATTCTTCTTTTTAGGAAGAATGAAAAGTACGATTTTGTCTAAAATGATTTCAACACTTATTGATGAACTTTAGCGGATAACCGTTTGAAATCAATGCTTTAGTCAAGAATTTCGCATCGTCTTCAAATGTATCCGTGATGCGAATTCTTTTTGCCATATTGAAGTAGGCATTTTACCAAGCCTTGTTTGTGTTGTATTGAGCAAAAACTGCTGAAAGTTAAATACTGTCCAGTCCAGGTTGGCTTTCTATAAACAGAACGCTTTATAGTTCCATTCTCTCTTCGACTCAGAAGTATGTTTTTATGTAAAATGCCTTGACAAGTGTGTGTGATTATTCAAAATGTATAGCGCAAATACATTACGTCTTCTCATTGTCCTGTCAAAAACATTTAATGCAAAAGCTAATGTTTATTAAGGCAAAGAATTGGGGTAAAACGAAAACCAAATTCAAACCATTTACAAAAACAAAATTAGGAATCCACTGGAAATAAACACTGATAAAGGCAAAGACAGCAATGTTTTTTATTTATTTTCTCATACTAGTGAATAAATGAGAAAGTAGTATATTGAAATTCAGAAGAAAACCTAACTGATAACTTGTTTAGGTCAAGAAAAGCCCACCGAAAAGGATGAAGAGAAATAGTTAAACAATATGTCTTTGAAGAATCAACATTCACCATCCAACAACAAGATTTGACTGTAATTAAACGGTTAATAATTATTGCAAAGATTTTAGAGGTTTCATGCCTGAAACATGAAGTTATTACGATTCAACAGATGAAATGGGTTTTTACGTTTAACACCTACATAAATTAGTTCGATTTTCTTTACTAATCATTGAAAAAAGTATGAACCATAGGAGGAACAGATTAACAGCAAACAACTATCTAGTTTTCTTTGGGTTTCCAATAATGTCTCAAATAAAATTACTCCATTAGAATAAGGTTTAAACTGAACAATGATTTTTGTAATCACTTGGTCATAAAAATGGGTATTTACAAAAGTAGTAAAGTTAAAATAAAACTCACTCAACAGTTCAGAAGATGAGACGGACATTAGGCAAAACTTGTGAACAAAATCGACAATAGCAATGCCAAATTCGCTTCCGATAGCCATTCTACAAACAAGTAACAGCTCTGCGGTTACAATGGTAACTAAAACAATCGTAAATTGAAACAATCTTTCGTACAGTGACACTTAAAAGAAAAACAAATTAGGTATGAATTCTAAGTGCATTACGATAGCTTTGGATTTGCAATACCTTAAATGAACTGCTACTATGAAATTAGGTAGTCTGTTTATTACGAAGTGGGAAAGTTATATTCTAAACCAATGAGTTACGTTAGTAAAAGCATTTGATACGCCAGTCAGTAAGCAAAAATGTAGAACTTTGTACGTAGGTGTATCAGTTCAAGTCGCCATATCACATAAGCACAGAGATAGCATTGTCAATTAAAACTCCATAGAATTAGAGGTTGTATCAGTATTAGCAGTAATGGAAAAAATTAGGGTTTGAAGATGGTATACAAGGAGTATAATATCCCATGAAATAAATTTGAGAAGACAAAGATGAAAGTCATAAGGAATTCAGATAGGAGTTTGGGAGAACAAAAAGAGTGGATGCACCTGCGCCATTACAAATGATTTTGAGACATGTCGTTTAATGTCTCCAACCATCGGTAGCTATCATCCGCGGACCACAACCAGATAGTCTACAATTACCAAGATGACTCAATCCATTTGTCAGTGACTTCATGGATTTCTGCCATGTTTTGGTTTGGCCGTCCCTAGCTTTCTTCCAACCTACTCCTACACCACAAAACATCGGTCATCAAGGCATCTGATGGCTGGGCGTATGTAACACATGTTCCAACCACCTCAACAGATGATGCAATGGTTTTCAACTGATTTACCATTCTTACCTCATAGCTGTTTCCCAACAGCTTACCCGGTGGTCGCAGGATATAAGAACAATGCTTCGAAGACACATACGATCGAAAACCAGTAACCTACAAAAATCCTCTTTTCTAACTGGTCAAGTTTTACACCCATATAGTAGAGAACCTGTATAAAGTTAATGTCCTTCTCTAGTACTCCTTTCAATGACAGGTACTACCAAAGAACCTCACGATCAACAGAGTCAAATGCCGCGTCCAGGTGTAAAACCAGTCTGGTTTTCTCGAGTCTGCTCTTCATGAGCTCTAGTTAGGCGTCGGGGGCCAATAATTTAAATACCATATTGTCACAAGAGGAATTCCAGCCTTTTTTGTAGACTTGGAAAACAGTGATTGAGACGTCAGGTTGGATTACGCCCAGTCCCCAAATTTTACTCAATGTCTTAGTCAATCAAACTGCTCTAAAACTGAACCACCATCCTTAAAGATCTCAGTGGTAAGCCTGTTACTTACTGACGCTGCCTTTTCCGCCGCTCTTCCTTTTGCCACCCACCACTGTTCGAGAGCATTGCGTAGGATTTTTGTCAGCCTGCGTTTAGACTGACTCCGCTCTTCGTCATGTTCGGAGCCAGGTGGGATGAGTTTCCGGGCGTCTATCATTTCGCTAGGTGTATTCCCTTTTTGCTTAGTCTACCTACTTGAGCATCAATGTTACCAGCCACTATTACTATGTCAGAGCGGTTAACGTTTTGAAGAAGTTTAGTAGGTTTTCTCTAAAACTCATCTCTTACCTCATCTGAGCTGCAGTCAGCGGAAGCGCAGACGGTCTCCCTATCTTTCTGAGTCCTTAGTGTAGGCATTCAGGAACAGGAAGCGTAAATCGAAATGATTCTCTATTTTGATATGGCAAGGTCGAATGAATGACGCTACTCAGATCCTGAATGCGCGTTTTGGAGACGCAGTATACATCGATAGCGCATGATTCTAAAATCATACTTAAGAAAGCCTATTATCTTATTTGACTCAAGGTTCGAACACTAAAAGCTCCGAGAAGTAATTTACAACGGTATTTGAGGAGACCAGAAATAACGTTTCGGGAACTCGAATCATTGCATTAGCGGTGCGAGGTGATGAAGGAATGTGAGAGGGGTGAGTCACGGAGATAAGAAAGATGTTAGGGGGTGTAGGAAGAATTTGATTTTGACCAATTCGGTCTCGATTGCTAGTACAGGTATGAGAGCGGATGTCACTTCCCGGCTGCCCAAACCGCGGGTATTTATTGAGGAACCTGAAAAATAAGTTGGGTTAGTTTTGGTTTGAGAGTGCTAGGCGTGTGACTGCAGAGCCGAAGGCAAAACTGCTTGAGGCCGATCACGGACGGTTTGTTTATGAGAACTTAAAGCTTTAGCTCGACTCCTTAAATTGCCTTACCGCCAGAGACGGGAACCCGTGAGGTTTGACATTTTATGACCCCTTCCCTGTTTGTGAGAAGCCGGAATCGCTGAAGATGCTGGTTTTCCGAGGGAAACACCTTACTGCTGTCACATCCCTCTACAGTCAGCAGTACGACTTCTCCTTTAGACCTTGAATAGCTATCTTTAGTCTCATCGTTCTCCAATCGATCTGCCTGGTATGATGGAGCCTTCAGGAACATAAGTTACAGCCAATTAGGCTCAGTTGAGTCATCACAATAGGCGCGTCCGACTACCACGTCAAACTAGCAGCCACGGTCTGGAAAACATTCGATGATACATATGATGATGAACTTTACCAAACATGAACAAAGATTATTTTCGCACTGCATAATTACCAGCTAGATATCGAAGATTTAAGCACAATTAAAAGTGAAGAAAGGTCCGTGATCAAACATTACACAAAATTATGAGTATTTTGTATATGATTAAACATGAATCTGTTTATACTTTTGAAGAACTTGACTGAAGATTTGAAAGAAGCAACTTGATAAGACTAGACAATCAGGTTCGGGAGATTCACCAGCTTTAAATTAGATTTTTCTTATTTCTGTAAATTTAAGACACAGTAAATGAAAAGGCGGTATGATTAGGTTATACGGTAACAGGTATGATAGGTAACTTTGTCTTCACAATGTAAACAAGCTGGAAAGTGCAGGTTTTCTTACAGGCAGGAGTAACAAGTTTTAAACTTACAAGCCAAAAGCTGAACTCATACTAATAGCTGTAATAGATGGCGGCGGGATAAGACAGGAAGCTGTTGGATCGGTACTTGACTTCAGATTTGATTCAAAGCTTAATCCAGGTATGCCTACACGACAAACAAGCAGCGGTTGATAACCCGGAGGCCAATGATGGCTACCTTGACGAATTGGAACGAATACGCGTAAATCCTATTTAAAAAAGAGAGAATGATAAATACACTGTGAATACTATGTATAAAGACAATAATCGGTCTGTCGATACAGATAAGATTTTTACTTGACAGTCAAGCTATGGTGGAGAAAGTTTGTAGTTCATGTGGATGATCATGATGGAGTTTCGTTGTCTGAGCTGAATTCCGTTTGTGCAGAACGATTAACGGATCTGATATGAATTTAGTATTGATTTTGTTCAGAAGAACAATGAAAGCTCCATAATCAAGACATTCATCGTAATGAACATATAACAGTTACTGGACACTTCATGTTTCTAGCTCTGCTTTACATAGTAAGTGTGTGGTGAAAATCGACTGTTGAAAAATCTATTTGAGTGGAATGAATGAAGCGAAATTGAATGATGATAAGAAATTAGGCTTTGATAAATTAGAAAAAAATCAAATAATCCATATGTTTTCAACTATCTCATTTGATCATCAAGAAAAAACTTAAACGCAAAAGCTAAAAACTGATAATTCATAGATCAGTAATAAGATAAATAAGGGCACAGTAAAGCAATTAGTGGTTAATTTAAACTGATTAAAAAGGACAAATTATTCATGGAAAAGAATTCAGCATGTAGATTGGTTAGTTAGTGTTAATCATCTTACATTAATGTTTGAAGATTATAATGTATGCGTTTAGGCAATAAATTCAGGGCAAATTAGCCAAATAATCATTTTGCCTGAAGACAGTTGAGCAGATTGAGAAAAAAAGTCAATGCGATTAGAATCAGGAAACTTTTTAAGCAAATCAGAAAAAGGGCAGCAGCAAATGTAAGAAACAAGATCAACAACAAAATTGTTAGATTTTTGAGGAAAAAAAGTTTGGAAAAACGTCACAAAGATTCGTTTGGATTATTCATTACCTACCTATTAAATATAATAATAAAGGTAGATGTTATTAATCAAGAATTAACCGTGTTCATAAAGTAACAGCCTATCATCCTGTAACGACAAAATGATCAAATAAGAGTTATAATAGTCAACTGATCAGATATTAAATGTAGGAATTAATGTAAAAATAACTGAAGTAAAACAGACGAAATTACTAGTAAAAATTAATATATCTGCATGGGAATGAAAACAACAGAAACTAAGTCAATAACATAATGTAAGACTTAACCGATTTTATAAGCCATCTAGTCAACAATGAAACCACTGGCCTAAACGTGCGTTAGGGTAAAAATCGGTAGTGACCATTCTAATTTATTCCGAGTTTTTATTAAGAGTGCTTGTGAGTTCCTCAGAGGCTGTGAAAAGGTTGAAAAAAGAAAAATAATGGATTATATGCTACTTCTTGAATGGGTAAATGCCCAGCACATTTCCAGAAGTTTCTAGAATATCAGGTTCACACCTAAGCATCCGAATATCCTTATTATCCGTAACAAAACCAAACTTGAAGGTGAAAATTCTCAAAATACTTCCCGCATTACGATTCTCCTTTCGGTGCTCAGCCCACGTGTTGGAGATTTCCTGTGAAGTAGCTAGCTCTTACAAGTCAATGTCACGCATTCAGCTCATTAAAAAAATTACTTAGTGACGTTGAATTCCAATTGATAAAGTGCAAAGCGTTGTCTTTCATTTATTCAAGATAACCTATGATATGAGTTGAACTGAAAACTTGAATAAAAGTTGCTTATATTAATTATTAGGTTAATGGACTACTCATGCAGAATTTGAAATAACAAATACATTACCTAAGCAAAAAAATTACATTGGTTACAATAAGTCAACAGAACAAAAAACCGATAAGATTTAATCCGATAGAATGTAGGATACAGGTTACTTGATACAGATATGGAGAATAAATACAATTTCAGAAAATATGATTTCCTAGGATAGAAATAAAAATGAAAGCAATCTATGTGTCGTCATCATCGACCCCATATATTTGTTTAAATATATGTTTATGTGAAAGCATACGAACAAAGATATAAAAACAACAAGTATTCACAAACATTAGTTACAGATGTCACAGATTGTATAACCGCTAAACAAACAATAAAAACCACAAAAAAAAATAGAATACTGATAATATAGATTCAAGTAGAATCAATAGTTTTGATAATCATCAAACAAAAAATTATTTCGGTCAGATTTTTGTTTTCGGCTTTCGTTCTTTATATATTCATAACGATAATCTAGAAATCAGTGTTTAATCTACATTCAAAGAGAATACAACAAACAGTTGTTATGTTCATAATAACTTACAATAAAATTTTGAGATTCAATTAAAAATGCAGTAAAACTAGCCTACGAACCAATGTTAATCATTTAATTCTCAGTTAACTAGCTGAGTTTCTATACAGTGAGCATATTTTCTTTTTCAACAATGAGACACAACTAGAGAACAGTACTAATATATACATACCATTGTCAAGTGCAGGGAATATCATAAAATATTGATACACTAATATCAAGAGTAATATTTTCATCATTCACCTAGAAAAACATCAAATATAATTACTATGCCGAATCAAAAATATGCAGATGAGAAACGAATTCAAATCATGAAATATAACACTAAATGTTACTAAGTAAGCTTTCGACAACAACAGATTTCAAGGAGAAAAAAGGGCTGAAGTAGCTAAATATCGTTTGATTTATTTTGTTGGAAAAGTAACATTAGGTATTGTTAAAGCTAAAAAAATTCGAAATCAATGAAAATAAAAGAACCATGAAGGAAAGTTAGGAGACTTACTAAATAATATGGGTGACTTGGTTATGAAAGTAAAACTATTATCACAATCATTAACTATATATATATATATATATATATATATATATATATATATATATATATATATATATATATCGATTACTGAACGTTTAGACAATTCAGAAAAAGGAGAAGAAAAAAGACTGACGCTTAAGGAAGAATAAAGTAGGTCAGTTTAGTCAAACAATAAACGTATGCAGGTGCTCTGTAAAAATTGTAGAGTATTCTTTACAATTAACTTAAATTATTGGAAATCACTAAAAGCCACTGTAAAGTAGGTTATTCAACTTGCACAGAAAAGAAAAAAGCCTACATCTAGTAATACAATGAATGGAAACTTAAGTGAAAGTCTAAAGGTACAAAAGTAAGATCAAGAGATGGAAACATTGTCAAAAATAGTGCAACATTAAAAGCTAATAAATAGTTATCCATTAAAAAGGATTTGATTTACAATGGTTCCTTAGTTGTTCAGATACACGGATATCAATGTCTTAAAATCAAAGCTTTTCATTTATTACAAAACAGAGTTTGCAATAATTTGGGAATTCAAAAAATAGGTTAATGGATCAAGAGATGACCTCAAAATAAGCAGATAGTAACTGCTGATTTTGGCGGAATATCTGGCTTACAGTCCGTACAACAACCGTACCTTTTTTGTCAAAACCTGTGTGATACAACTTAGAATCTACCACGATGATGCAGATACGATAGCTTGTTAACTTCCTTTGAAAATCGTCAGCTTACTTTCATTATATGCTTTTCGTTATTCTATGTGAACAATAAATTTCATCTCTAGCCTCCTACTTCACTTGATATTATTTCCTACCCTAAAGGTTGCTATGTTCGTGATACTGACGATAACACTTTGGTACTGGCTAGCAGAACGTATGATCAGCCACACAATAACAAAACGAAATTAGGCTATTTGTCTGTGTCCTAGCCCAGTTAACTACAGAGGGAAGCCCAGAGTCAGCAGGAATGAATAAATACAACAAGCAGACCGGAAGGACGAATGACAAGAACACAACTCATGTGTAATATATACAAGAGAAAGAGTCCTTGATAAACATCACATAATTGTGTACCAAAAGAGAAGACAAACATATAATGTTTGAGAACATTTGAGGAGGGAAACACAAACTAAATGTAACAATAGGTGTTTCGTGATAAAATGATAAATCCAAATTTCCACATATAAATTACAAGAATACGAAGTTTATCGAGTGATTTCTGGAAAATCTAACATCCGAGAATAAGTAAATTCATATTTTCGATTTACTCTCTTATTGTGTAGATGACGTTTCTGTAATTGAAGGCGACATACAGTCGTTTTAGATCTTAGGGTTCGTGTAACACACTGAATCACTAAACAAAATGTCAGTCAGATACAACACAGAACGTCGTGAGTACGTACATCAGTTCATGTTGTCATATCACATTAACACAGAGACGCAATTGTCACTTCAAATCCCATAGTCGTAGAGGTATTAGAAGTATTAGCAGTAATCGGAAATTTTAGGGTTCGATGATATTAGTCAAGGAGTAGAATCTAGTGAAATAACTTAACAAAATGAAAATTAGTCTTAGTATGAGTATGATAAATATAGTGTCAGACAGACAGACAGATACAACGCAGAACTTCGTACGTAAGTACATCAGTTCATGTTGTCATACCACACAATGTGACATAAAAGGATTATGTTACTTAACCCCCATTTTAACCAGTAATCTTCAGGAGATAAATGTGTTATACAGAAGGTGAATACAACTGATGTCCTTAATTATGTAACCATATATTTGGAATATAAATGTCGAAAACCAACAAACTGTCCAATTTCCAGTTTCCGTAGGGAAATAATGATTAAACCGAAAACGGTTTGGTGATACGAAGTGGAATAACCAATAGAAATAATATTTCTGGTATCTGATATTCTTAAACAGGATATTTCCTCAATAAAATATTGCTTAGAACAGAACTCAATTCGTTGTAGATACAACTGATATGTTAAAACGTGAAGACTAAATGTGCTTATGGTTCTGAAACAAACTCACCCTTTCAGTTGGAGACACAGATTGATAAGAGCTAACACTTCCACTGGATACATGAGGTACCGACTGTTGGACAGTGTCCTTCGTCATATTACCAAGCAAATTTTCAGTGGTATTCAAATG